AAAATTAATCAACAGTTCGGGTGTTCATTTTCAATAAATTTTAATCATCAAATTAGTGTACAGAGTAAATGTTATTTTACAATGCTACAGAACTTTTCACTTCGATTTTTCGTGATCTATCCAGCGGTGTAGAGGTCTTCAGGGTATGACTATATTTCTTTGAAAAGTATATGTGCATAGTATATTTCCTTTGTAGCAAAAGATTTAAGAAATAAAAGCAACTTAAACGAGTCATGGAAGATTCCTCCATTCTTCCTCTATTCTTGCCCTTAACCGAAGGAAGTCTACGTTGCGCGTGGGTGTACGTGCACCGGGTAGGTACGCCCACGTTGTTTGCCAGTACTGGCGAAAGTGAAAAATATCCTATCCAAAGGGAGCACGTGTTTTGTACACGTCCATACACATGCGCATATAAATTCGAGCTCGTTTGTACATACAGAGGCATACACGTGGATACGTTATTAGATCTCCTGAGATTTCGTGTCGAGGTATTGGCGAGTACCAGCTGCTTGATCTGGTCGTTAACCTCCGCTTGCGGATCATTTTTGGATCAGCTCGAGGAGTTTCAGTTTCCATTGAAACTTTAGTCAGGGATTTGTAATCAGTTACTTTGTAAATAATTTACAAAGTAAAATATGTTAAAATTTCAACTATGTTCCAAATAGCTTTGCAATCTGATTTGCCCCGTTTAATTAATTATTTTTAATTATCAAGTATTGAAATATTTCAATTATAAAAGCAAATGAAATTAAAATACGACCTTAGAATAATTGTTATCGAACATTTGAAAATGGAAAAAATAATTTGAAGCTTTAAATGTACGGAGCGAGCTCGATTGTAGAAAATCGTGGGTGGAATCGGTGGAGAATTGGAGGCAGCGCATTGTAAGCAGGCGTCACGACGTGTAAATCTAATATTTCCTGTTTCTTTGACCTGTACCTCACCCCTTCTGCCTTTCCCTCTTTCTATGCTCCTTCCTCCTACTTCCACCATTCGCTGTTATCTCTTTTTAAAAGCTTCGCCAGTGGAGGATCTCGTTATAAATGTACCATGGGTTTTGCGTTCAAAAGGTGTTGGGTTTCTGACCCAAAGCCTTGGGGCCCCATGAGACACGGGGTGGGGGGACAGAGAGAACTAGGGCCCCCGCAGTTAGCCCGCAATTCACCGGGTCTTTTTCTCTTTTTCCCTTTTTTCTTTTCTCTTCAGTTCCCTTTTATACCGCGACTCTTGGGGTTTCGCTTGTCAACTCGCCTCTATACTGTATTTTGACAGCAGGGGACACGGTTCCCTGCGAAATTTTGCCGGCTGTTTCGCGCCTCGCGAAACGAAGATGCTTGCTCGCTTTCCTTCTCTATCTCGCTCCTTTATGTCTAACACTTTATTTTTTCCATCCTTTGTTCGTTAGTACGGTCGAACACCTTACGGCTTTAGAATTCATAGCGACCGTTAACAAAAAGAATAATTGCTTTCTTTTTTAATTTTTATCAGAATCAGTTACGTTCCTATTTTATATCCTTCTACGATGAATTGAATTGAAATTCATTTCTCTTAAAATATTTTATTGTTTTTCTCGTAGAATCTCTCTTGATTATCTCAAACTAAATTATACTGCTATACTACTTGGAAATTTTACTTGGATTTTTGGAATACTATTTGAATTGCTTTATGAACGTTCTATTTTTAGTAACATCTTATGCTTTCGAATCTTCAACTTCAGGAAAAAATAATGAAACCTTAGTTTCTGCGTTTCGTTCTTTGTAGAGTAGGTAGCAGCTTCAAAGTAGAGAGGGTAAGCATATCAAAGAGTGAAAAAGAGTCGTACAAAAGGTACGTCAGAAGGTCTGCTGGAGGTCTTTTACACCTTTGTTTCACCTTCTAGAATGTTGTTGATCGATATCTGAGTGCGAGCAGGTTTACCGAGTCGACTGGCCGTCTGAGAATTTCTTTACTTCCTTATCTTTGATCCCGGGCATTTTCCTCGGCATCAGCATGCTGTGGTAACTGTTTGAGAGCGTTCTAGTAAGCACGTCGTAGCTGGTCGTAGTTGAAGATCGTACATGTTCCAAGAGGAAAGGTACCGAAGTGTCGCGGAACCCCTCGTGACAATTGTGTCTGGCACTCGTTCTTGAGGGTCGACGCTTTCGTTGAAAGGGCTCTCCTTTCTTTCTTTCTTTCTTTCTTTCCCTTACCGCATCTCCTTCATCTTGTTCTTTTCTCTTTACTGCTCCTGCTTGTACTTTGCCCCGTTACACGCATACCAGACATCAAAGAACCTTTGGTATCCGCCACCTCTCTTTGCTAACCTAGGCGCAAATGCGTGACAGGTCTAAATGCAACCTACACGAGATAAGGCTCTCGAAAACAACTGAATTGATAACAAGATCATGGCTCGGTTGTCGCATAGTATGCAGTAGTCGTTAGGATGATTATAGTAGGCTATCTTTCTGACTGGGTGATTCTGGGATTATCAACCCTTTGCTTTGACCTTCTGCCCTCTTCTGATATACTAATTTTCGGGAAAAAATGTGCCTTGAAAACAGAAATATTAAGTTTTAAGAAAGATTAAATATAAAAAATAATAAGTACATAGGGGAAATTTTAATTAGCTTAATTCTATCGTGATTGTAACACTGATTTTTTATTAAAAGAAAAGAGTGACTTAAGAATCATTTTAGTGGATATTTAAAGAATAATACATTAGAATTATTGCCTGAAAAATCTATTTTTAACGTGTCTTCATCCCCAGATTGAAAATGTTCTTTTATGCAAATGTGAGGTAGCGAGGGTGCATATTGTAAAATAGGGAAAGCGATGCTAAAATGATTGGGGAACACTGATGTAGAAGATAATAAATTTTCTACCTGAATTTTATCGTCAGTAAATCTTTGTCAAACGCGAAGATCGTGAGAAAGCTGTTCGATATTTTCGATCCTCCCAGCAGAATCCTCTTTCAATGACTCAATGACTCTGGACAAAGTCAGTATCATCAATATTCGAAACATATATATATAAAAGTGTCCTGCTCGCCGAAGGGTCGAGGATTTGATTTTTACCGGCGATAACTCAGCGTGGTTTCGTGGATCCAAAGATAATTATTTTCCAAGAGGATCCAACAGGGTACTCGGCGTGTTTTTTACGACGGACACCGGAGCTCGGTCTCCAGGAGGGAAGCCGAAGAGAGGAGCAACGCTTGGGCTGCAGGAATGGCCAGTGGTGAGGTCGTGGGTATACGATATCTGATGCAGAAAACCGGTAAAGGCCGAGGACCGATGGAACCGAGAGGCGAGGGACGATGGTGAACGAAGAAGAGGACCAAAAGTAAAGACACGATTGTGGGGGCTACGGCACATTGTCTTCGGGTGACTTAAAAATCCAACTCGTATCTGATACAACGAACATAGACCCTAAGGAGGGTGTACGCGACGTGTGCTCACGTCCTTTTCTCTTTTGTACCATCTTCGCCCTTCGTTTTCCTTTTTTTCTATTTTTTGATCTTCCACCTAACCTTCGGGCTTCCGAATGTGAACTTTGCTACTGATCTCAGGACTACGTTGCTCGTGGTCCTTCGTTCGTTCAGAAAAACTTTCGTTATTAAAACGTGCTTGGGATGATAATAACCGGGTATACGGATAACCATTGACATTCAAGAATTTATTATATTCCCTTTGAAATATTTCAAAATTCTTTTAAATCGTGTTCATTTCGAGTAGAATGCTTTACATTTTTATATACCTTCATTATAAAATAATTATGAATATTTTTATTATTGATATGAGTAATCAGAATGAATACTCAATATTTGAAATATTTTCTAAAGTTGTTCATATGCAAGATTAATCAATTATTTATAAAACTATATAAATGTAGAAATACCCCTGTGGAGGGGGAGGGCCATTTTGAGGGGTCATCTTGATGAATAAAAAAAAAAATTTGACTGTTAAAAAAATTAAATCTTACATTTAGATCAACTCTACATCCTAGTTAATATCATCGAACGATCTCCATAGGAGTTACCACGTGTCAGTCAAATGTCATTAATTATGTTTTAAGTGTACCTTGCCTTGGACGAAAACCGGATCTATCAGCTAGTCAATTATAAAACCTATTTAACAATTACGACAGGACAACCTCGTTTTATTTTTCCTCTGCTAAAAAGGTTTTCAATTTTATGCTCGATTACTAGAAGGCTGTGCAAATAAATACCGGGAGATTTTAAAATAACGAAGATAATTAAGACGATGAAAATTACAGAGACACCATGTGTAGCTCGTCTGAATTTTTGCCCTCGTAACTCAATTTTAAGTGGCACGGTAGCTGCCGAGCAATGCATCTTCGAGGCTCGCGGAAGCGTTGCAAAAATACGTGCAAGAAAATAACAAGCTCGCTGAGTTGACCGAGAGGAAAGCACCTTCTTTTTCGAGACACAATGCGCTTCTACCACCATTACTTATCCTTTCTCGTTCGGTAAATTGCTCGAGAAGAAACAGAGTCCCTTCTGTTTCGCTTCGGTTCACACGATCTGTATTCGTATTTGAACAGTCGATTAGTTCCTGGATGTTGCATCATCCGTCTTAAGAAGTAGCTCGAAACGTACTTTACATATTTGAAAAATACACATTTTTAGGCACCGTGTTCTCATCACAAGACTGTAATTTATGTTTCTAGTTCACACTGGGACAGCTCATCTGTTTGCATTTCTATATTGGGTGGCACAGTAGAAATAGCTATTTTTAATAGGGCACAGGATAAATTGGGTTATTAAAAAATATTAAAAATTAATTTTTTAATAGTACAATACTTCATTTTGCTATTTTACACTATCTTAATGATTATAGTGCAGTCAAAATTATTCTACTTTTTACAGTTTTTAATAGCTTTTCATATATTAAAAAAAAATCATAATAATAATATCTGAAGGAATTTTTTCAGACCTGACACACAACCCTTTCCTAAATCACAAGTAATGACATTATTATTAATATGTTTTTCTTTTGTTACAGGTCTCCAGGCGGAATTATTCTACGTAAGGGAAGGCGTTATAAACGAATACGCAATTAAATTCGTGGTCCCAGTGCCAGCGCAGGTTCACAAGTTACATTTCACTTGGGAGAACCTTGCCGGCAGGCCGGTAAGTTTTACAAAGCCTTCAGACCTTTCAAGTAATTGCTTCTAACGATTCACCCCGTAGAGGTTGAAAAAGAAAATAACGTTTGAAGAGTGGGTCGCGACTTAAGAAAACGCGAAACGGTGGAAATGGAAAGAGGTATCGTCTTGAGTGTTTTTTAAAAACTCTGCCATCTCATCTTCCGCGTACTTTATTCCTCATTTACGTTTCTTTGATTCCTCGGCCAAGCTAGATCAAAGTCGAAAAGCAGATAGGAGCCACCGTGAATTCGCTCGTTAACGAAGGAATCCGCGTTACGGAAGCTTATTGCCGGATGAATTCTTCACGGGAACACTTCAGTCTCCGACAGACGCCGGGCGATCATTTGAAATCTTTTCTCGTTCCTTATTTCCTCTTCCCTTCCTTACGGAACGTACTTATCCGGATTATCGAGGCATGTCGGCTCTTCCTGTTTCTCAGAATCGCGTCACAAAGCACCGTTTTCCATGATTACTCGACATTTTAGCGAAATGAATTTACCAAGACGATCGTATCCGTTGAACGATTCTCGAAGATGTCTTTAATATTCCTGTCTCTTCTACGATTCATTAAATACTGGTTTAGATGAATTTTTCTGCTCGGCAGGATATTTGAAGAAAGTAATAAGGAAGCAATATTGCAGGAAATATTTGTAAATCTTTTTATTAAAAATCTTTTATGACATTTAGCAATATTACAGTACAATGGTAACATTATATTAATTCGTTCGCTAATTTCGTTTCATTGACAAAAATTTTAATAAATCGGAAATTGTTGTTTTCTGTATGTAACTTTTCGTTTTACTAACTTTATTTATTGTATTATTTATACGTTTCTTATATTACTAATTTATTAAGTAAAAGTGGGCTGTTAGGATAAAAGCAAACTGAATAGATCAGATACTCGCGATTGATCGGGATTATTTGTATTTTGACAAATGTTAAGTATTAACAGGCTGAACGAGGCACGATAGGAATTTAATGAATCGGTATCCTGAAGAATGCATTTTTTGTCGTTGCGTTCTCGTTCAGGTTGAAAGTACGTACTTTGACAAAGTGCCGGCGAAAAGTGGACAGAATGCGACACGGTGTTGGATTGACTCGTCGACGATGCGCAGAAAAAAAGGGAAACAACAGATCTGAGAGTAGGACAAAGTGGTCCAGCCACTTCTTCCAGTTGTCTCATCGGAAGGACGAGGCTGAAGAAGGGGACGAAAGTCGGAGACTGATGACCAACGTCGGGACATCCGTCACCTCCGTGACAAAACCGAGTGTTTCGAATGCTACTTAGGCGCAACGGCTGCCTGCCAATCAAACTGACGATTTTTCAGTCGTACAGACAAATTCATTGGATATTTTTAACGCTGGGGCAGGTGTCGTTAAATATATGCCTGAGTTTTAATTGGCAACCAATTTAGGAGAAATATAAGACAATTAATAAGTGATCCTTAACAAATTCAGTTTAGTAAATCATATAGGGTCATAATATTCCCTACTCAAACGCCCCTTAATTAGGGTGTCGAAATTATTAATTATCCCATTATCAATTAAATGATTAAATTGTAATCGATTTAAAAATAAAATGCTAATTGGTAATTAATTAATTTTGAAATGAAGATTCAAATTTGGATTTTAATTATACCTCTCATTAATAAAAATTAATTTTCAACCTTAATTGTAATTTTTCTGAATTAACAATTTCAATTTAGTTTTTAGTGAAAAGTTTATTTTTGAAAATTGAGAATATAAAAGCTTGGAAACAGTTTAAGAAAATATGGTAAAATATTGGTTCTCAACGTGAAATAAAAAAAGAACATTACAATATTTCGCTTCGTCAATAATTTACAGCCGACAGCATATCTAAAGTAGCATTTAAAAATTCTAAGAAAGGGATTCTTTTTCACACGATACGTTCATAAAAATTTCACGGTATCTTGTCGTCCGACGAGTTTCTCGCGAAATGTCAGGCACTTTCGAGGCGTTCAGAAAATGAAAGAGAAAAAGGGTCATAAAAAAAAAAGTCTCGGACAGTTTAAAATCGAATGGTTAGCCGGTTTTTACAGAGGTATTCACTGTCGGCACGTAGTTGGCCGCTCGTGGTCGTAACTGATCTCCAGGTGGAATTAAAGGGGGTAGTCTGGTAGCGACAAACCAACAGGTTGACGAGGTGCCTTTTTCGCGACTAGTTGGAAACCGATCATCATCGTTGCCAGTGATAATCAGCTACGGGTTCTCTGACTTTGAACTAGCTATTCTTTATTTGGTTTCTTCCAGAAATGGCTAGGAATAATTATTATAATAAAGTGGACAGAAAATAATTTTCAAGGTAAAATGATTTGTTTTTTCTTTCGTGCCGTTTTTTATCTTTTCAATATTAACACTAATATTAAAATTAACTCTACTGCTAATATCATCGCTAAAACTAATGTCAATGTTAATACTAATACAGATATTAATTATCAATATTATTAAAAAAGAAATGGTCAACGTTAAGAGTTAATAAGCTCTCAATAGGCAAAGTTATATATTCAAATAAACATTCGTTATCGCGTAGTAAATACACATATTAGATTATTGCATATCAAATCGTCGATTTCAAAATATAAATGATCTTTAATCCGATTTGATTCGTATTCCATATTAAATTGGAACTGCCTTATAAGAAAAATAATTATTAATGAGTGGTATTTATCGATAATTAGCAACGTTATCGACATCCTCCCATCATTTACGTGCGGGAAATGGGTACAGAGTGGTGGGCAGAACATCTCTGGCCTAGCCTTTTTCTCCCTCGTTTCTTGTTTTCTTTTCGCTCTGCCACTTTTGCCGTTTCTTCTTTCTATTTGCTCCTCGTTTTCCTCCTCTGGTTTCTCTTGCCTGCGGTTCTCTAGATTTACTTTGCCCTCCGCTGGGCGCAAATTGTCTTCCGAGAATGGTACGTTTCAGATTATAAGAAGGTTCAACGTTCGCGTGATTACGAACAAGCGGTAGCAGTTCGTTCTTTGCGTCTTCAACTTTGTGCCATTTTATTTTTTGCTCTTCCCTTTTTCACTCTTCATCGGTTAGGAGGCCTTTAAAAAAAAAATCCTTTCTCATCGTTTATACCACTCTTACTCTTTCCTTTGTTCTTCCGTGTAATCAGGTGTTTACGTGAAAATTAGAACGTACGTAAAGTATGCAGTGATTTGTGTTTCTGGTATTTGTTTTTCTTAGAGCCCGGAAATTCGTGCATTTCTCTGTAACAGGTGGCTCGAAGCGGAAATGACGGATTATCCTCAGTTCATTCCATCGAAAACGTTCAACCACGTGAAACTGCAATTTTACTGACAAGGGGAACTACCCAAGTGTTACACTCACTTATTAATGAAACTTTGCCAGCTTGTAGAGCTCGTTGAGCTGAACACGCATATACCCCGTTTTGTGGGCAGACGGCTAATTGTTTAAAAGATATTAATAATGAAAGTTAGTTACTACTTACATTGAGAAGTATGACAGACTCAAACATACAACTCGCAATCTAGAGATCCACGGTTCAAATCCTTGGTTCCCAATACTTTTTTTTTTTTAATGATAATTTGTCTCTTTTTGAATAACTATTACATAAAAATTATCATTATAAAAAAAAAAAAAAAAACATGTGCCCAGGATTTGAACTGAGGACCTTTAGATTGCTAGTCATGTGTTTAATCACGGAGCAGATCCGTCAATTACAATCTAAAGGTCCTCGGTTCAAATCCTTGGTTCCCAAAAAATTTTTTTTCTTTTTTATGATCATTTTTATGTAATAGTTATTCAAAAAGTGACATATTATCATTAAAAAAAGAAAAAAAATGTTGAGTATCAAGGATTTGAACCGTGGATCTCTAGATTGCGAGTTGTATGTGTGAGTCTGTCATACTTCTCAATGTAAGTAGTAACTAACTTTAATTATTAATATCTTTTAAACAATTAGTCGTCTGCCCACAAAACGGGGTATAGGCGTGTTCAGCTTGACGAGCTCTACAAGCTGGCAAAGTTTCATTAATAAGTGAGTGTAACACTTGGGTAGTTCTCCTTGTGAGAGAATGGGAAATTGTCGTGTTCGTTTTTTGTCCCCGTATTTCAACTCATTACTACTTGTGTTAAAAATATTCTTAAAAAATTGCATTAATTCATTATTTAACATGAACTGGAAATTATATAAATAATTTTAGAATTTGTTATATACCTAGGTATTTCAACTCTAGAGTGACATTAGTTATACACATTTGAAAATTAACACATTTCAATTATTGCAAATATTAGATTAATCCACAAATTCATTAATAGCTTATTGAATTTGAAAAATTATAAAATTTAATAAATAATGTTTTACTATCTTATAAATAAATTTTATTTATTTTCTTGGGATTTTCTTGGATTTAGAAGCACATAAATAAAATATAAATGAAAATGTAAGTGAATTTATAGCCTCATATGATATTTTTTTATATTGATTCAGTTCAATGCAGTTATTTTGTTTCCCTTGATTTTGTATTACTTTTTTTTCATAAATAAGTTTGAAAATTTGTGTGCTTTCAGTTACCGTATACAATGTCTGTGGATATCAGTAACCCAACTGCTTTGAGCAGTTCTTTGAACATATCTCAAGCTGGTGAAATACCTGTCGGTGGTCTTCAAACTTGGGCTTTGGCTTTGCATTGCGGCCCTTACGACGCCGAGGTCGACCTAAGCCTTCGGATAAACGTCTCGTTATCGAGACGAAACACGACCAGCTTGGACTTCAAGCGAAAGAAAATCTGCTTAAAGGATAAAAGTAACATAGGAGCGGAAGAAATTCTCGTTGCTGCATCCGGTTCAACTTCTGGCGGACAAGTGTTTTACGCTGCAATCGGATGTGCCTGTGCTTTCATCGCTGCCATTTTCGTCCTCGTTATTGCTTACTACGTTCGAGATAAAAAGACTAGAAGGCATCGTGATCCCCTTCAGTAAGTATCTTCTTTACTTGTTGTTTCAAAGATCAATTACAATTTTTATGAGTTATATCGGAAGTAGCCACTTTATATATTCCTGTCCATCTTAATATTCAGAATTGTAGATCAAATTTAATTCTATGGATACGTATAAAAATATCTTTGACATTTTATTGTAGAAAACTAATTTTTAAGTTATCTGTCTACCGTTTTCCTTTAACTCTCGGACGGCGGACCATAGAGAGAGCCCCAATTTTAATTTACTTTGTGTTTTATATTATTTTCATTTTATAATTTTTTTTTAATTTGGTTTTGTTATTATGTAATATATACAGAACGAGATAATTTTTATTTTTAAAGAGAATCAAGGGGTCTTAGCTCTGCCTGCAGTGTAGAAAGGGGCACAGGAGTTGGACCTGCACAGACATTTTTGTCACCGGAAACACCTCCTCCTACCTCTGCTACATCTACTTCTACTTACAGAAGATTAGACGACCGACCTAGTAGAGAGTTACACGAAAGAATTCAAGAAATCACAGTCCAAAGGTAATTAAATACACATAATTAAATAATTAATTAATCCTTTATTGCCTTTCAATTTCAAGATTACAAGTCTTTCTTCCCCTACTCTTTTATATTTACAATAATTCTTATTTTAATTAATATTAATATTACATTAATTACATTAGTTATTTTTAAGCATATTTTCATTTTTTTCTGATATAAATTACCACATTATATACTGTTTGTATTTTACAATTAGAATTGCCTTCAGAAAAATTTCAGACATTTTAATAATCCGTAAATTCTGAAAACAATATTCGGTAGTTAATCTCCCCATAATTTGTACAGCAGATCTTGGAAGTTTGCACAGTATAATTAGCGGTTTTCTGGATGCACGAGTCACGATGCCTGAAGCGTAATCCTGTTTCATACTTGTTACAGATGCAGGGTACGCCTCCTTAGCATCGAAATGGAGGGCACATTTGGTCGCGTGTATAGAGGCAGTTATCACGAAGAGGGTGCGTCTTCCCCGAGGGATGTCCTAGTGAAAACTGCTGCTGAGCATGCTTCACAATCGCAGGTGAGTAATATTTTTCTTCGTGTACTAATCAGATTACATTCTTTGGACATTACTATTTCCATTGTTCAACACTACCTATCAATTGAATTGGGTACAACTAATTTGCTGTAACGTCACTATGCACCTAATTATGCATACTTATGTCGCACGATTAAAACAATAAAATTTGTAATTATTATATTTGAATTATTATTTTGAACTTCAAGTAAAAATTAAACAACACATACATAAATTATGCAACAATTATTGCAACAAATTATATACAGAATGTTCGGTTAATTAGACACTTCCATACTTTGTAGGAAGAACCCCGGCACACTCTCAGCATTCTTTTTAAGGATTAAAGTTTAAACGCTATTATTTTGCATTTCAAGGTTGCTCTTTTGTTACGAGAGGGTCTAGCGTTGTACGGTTTAAGTCACCAAGCCTTACTCCCCGTTTTGGGTGTTTCCATCGAGGACAGGAGCGCGCCTTTCCTCCTGTATCCGCACACCGGTTACAAGAACATGAAGAGGTTCTTGCTGAGGTGTAAGTTGAGCAGCGAAGGGCCACCGAGAGCCCTAACTACGCAAGAAGTCGTGGAAATGGCCCTTCAAGCTGCAAAAGGGGTCCAGTATCTTCACAGAAAGAGACTGGTGCACAGAGATTTAGCCGCCAGGAATTGTGTGTAAGTGAAAAATAAATTATTTAACACTTAAATCTTACAGAAAACATTTTTACAATGAAGCATTTAATTGCCATGAACATTAATAATGATCCTTTTTTTTCTTCAATTTCTACTCTGGTATGAAAGGTACTTTACTTAAGATCGTAACGTTTCATTAGGAAATTAATTGACCGTGAGGCATTAATTAGTAATAAAAATCCTGATTCGAGTCTAATTACCGACCAATGTTACTTTCTTTTCTTTTTTTTCTTACTGAGATCACTTCGATACTTTTAATATATTTTTAAGCGACCTTTTGCGTGTTAGCACGATAGATTTATATCATTCTTGCTCTATTTGCAACAGAGGTTGAGTATGCATTCAAGACGTTTAACGAGCGTTGTTTAAATTTTATTAGCGTCGACGATGATCTGAGGGTTCAAATCACGGACAATGCTCTGTCCAGAGACCTCTTCCCCCAGGATTATCATTGTCTTGGTGACAATGAAAATCGTCCGATTAAGTGGCTCGCCATTGAAAGTTTACTCAATAAAACGTTCAGCACTGCTTCGGATGTGGTAAGTAAATCAATCTCTATTGTTTAAGTTTGATCTAAGAAATTTGTTTGAATATTTATTTAAAAAATTAAAAGAAATTAATAATCGTTCAAAACTGGAATGGTTAATTCCAAATTTTTTATTTCAAACTTTCTGTTTGATATCTTGTATTATTAGCAGAGGTGTAGTATATCTAATTTATGTTACTGGTCATTGCACTGGTATCCCCCACAGCATTCAACGTGTTAGTAATAGAAATTGAAAGATGGCAGATATACAGTAATCGTAATTGATTGAATTTTTCAGTGGGCATTCGGTGTTCTATTATGGGAACTCACGACCCTAGCACAGCAGCCGTACGTGGAAGTGGATGCATTCGAGATGGCTTCCTATCTGAGAGATGGATATAGATTGGCACAACCGATCAATTGTCCCGACGAATTATTCGCAGTTATGGCTTATTGTTGGGCAATGTCCGCGGACGAGAGACCGACATTTAGCCAGCTAATCGTGTGTCTTCAAGACTTTCACACTCAATTGACCAGATATGTTTGAATGTGAATTATTAAAAATCAAACAGGTTTGAAACTGTATAAAAAACGTGCAACAGTGAAAAGTGCCGGGAGTATGTGTACATAATAGTAGTACTTAAAGAAATTAATTTTTAAGTCCACCAGGAAAGTCGACTAAATATATGACCTGACTAGAAAGTAGTTCCTTATGTATTTTATAACAGAATAGATAATAGAGTCTTTTTATTAATAGTCCTTGTAGAGTTTTCGATGTAAACAGTTTTGTAGGCGTTAAGTATATAAAGACACTTAATTTTTCTAACAGCTGACAGTGCAGAGTCACTGTTTTCTTTTTCACTGCCTCATCCTCTCTCAGTATGTAAATTCTTCTACCAATCAAAAGAAAAAAAAGTCGCAAAAATGAATAATGAGCTCGATTCGAAAGTTGATTGTCAAAATAATTAATTATGCTCAGTTGCAACCAATATCAAAAGCCAATAGCGTTGGGAGTGGGGGCTCCAGACGCCATTGCACGCGGTCCGAGTAGAAGCCGACACTGGGTGCGACCCTCAGTGTCGGCCACATGCTAGGCACCCAAGGTGGACACCAGTGTGCCAAGCGTGGAGGGCTCCGGAGTTTTACACATATGGTCCCGGAGACCTCCTTTAGCGCTAATATCGGTCGCCGTGGGGTTTTAGTCAGTAGGAATCTGACACTCCCCCGCCGTCCTCCCCTAAGGGACGGTGGGGGGTCTTATGCAAGATTTCCCCATGTTAAAAAAAAAAAAAAAAAAAACATTTACAGCTACTGATTCGAGTAAAGGTAGCTGGCTGCGGCACCGTCGTCAACCGTTCAACCTAGAGCGAAGTGAAACACCATCAGTCTTATAGCAACCACCGAGGGGTGCGGATCTACCTGTTAAACATACATATACCCTTATTTTGTTTCTGCCTTCATATAATTTACTGTATTTATCTTCTTAGCTCATTGAATAAACTCATTAGGAAGAATAACGTGTTGATTTTATTACTCCTGTGTGCATCCTTTACATCTCCGCACCCCTTATAAACCTGCATTATTTACATCCCTGCATTCCTTACATCACTGCATCCTTTACATTCCAGCTTTCTTTATATCCTTGCATCTCTTACACTTCCAACACCCTTACATTCCAGCGTCCCTCACATCCCCGTATGCCTAACATCCCTCTATCCTTTACACCTTTCTATTTCTTACACCCTTCAATCCTTTACATCTCCCTACCCCTAAATGTCTGTTCCTCTTACAACCCTGTTTCCCTTATAGTCCTGCATCCCACCAATTATTCTATTCCCTACAATCGGCAGTGCCTTACATTCCTTTATCACTTACATCCATGAAATGACGCTTTCGACGTTCATAACAGCGTCCTCTAGTGACGACAAAAGGAACTAAAGTTCTAATAAATTTAGCGCCATCTGGTGGCGAAAAAAGGAACTAAAGCTTGCAGGAATTTTGGCCCTCTAGCGGCAAAAATGTGAACTAAATTTTCGATGTCGAATCAGCGCCATCTGGCGGCGAAAAAAGGAACTAAAGCTTGCAGGAATTTTGGCCCTCTAGCGGCAAAAATGTGAACTAAATTTTCGATGTCGAATCAGCGCCATCTGGTGGCGAAAGGGGGAACTAAAGCTTGCCCCAATTTTGGCCCTCTAGCGGCAAAAATGTGAATTAAATTTTCGATGTCGAATCAGCGCCCTCTAGCGGACAAAATTTGAACTAAATTTTTCTCAAAAAAACAGCGCAAAGACGTTAAGGATGCAGGAATGTAAGGATTGTAGATGTGTAAAGGATGCAGGCATGTAAGGGATACAGACATGTAAGGGATGCAGGCATGTAAGGGATACAGGCATGTAAGGGATGCAAGCGTGTAAGGGATGCAGGCATGTAAAGGATGTAGGCATGTAAGGGATGCAGGCATGTAAGGGATGTAGGCATGTAAGGGATGCAGGCATGTAAGAGATGCAAGGATATAATGGAAGCAAGGATGTGAGGAATGAAGAGATGTAAGGAATATAGAACTGGCCCTGTAAGGCCGTCAAAGACAAAAAAAATAATAAATAACTGGAAAGGATGAGCCGAGGTTCATGGAGAGGAATAAAATAATAAATGACTTGGGAGAGTGGTCCTTGTGAGGCCCACAAATAGGGGTGAAACAATAAATAAGAGAATAGCGAGGCGGGGCACACAGGGGGAATAAAATCATTAACTTCATCCCACATTCAATAAGCTAAGAAGACATACAGCAAATTGAATAAACGTTGAAAATGAAATAAGAGTATATGTATGTTTACCAGGTAGATTCGCGCCCTGCGGCAGTCGCTATAAGACTGAGTGGATTTCACTTTGCTCTGCGGTTGATAGCGGTGCCCGATTATTCGCTTTCGATATCGGTTGCAATTGAGCATAATTAATTATTTTGACAACCGACTTTCGAATCGAGCTCATTATTCAATTTACTAGTTAATTAATGAACGGACGCTTTAGGGACTAATTGTTTTTTTTTTTTAATTTTGTTCTTTCTCGAATACAAAAGTATCTCGAGTGAACTAGGCTTAATGCCTGCGGGATCAAGGTATGGTAGTGACACCTTCCGTGGAGCGTGTTCGAAGGTGTATACCGCAGTTCACCAGAGTCCATAACTGCGACGCGCAAGTTGGAAGATGGTGGGGGAACGCAGCGAGCTCTCTGCTAATCGCTTTCCACTTCGTTTGGGAGTATCGCCAATCAGGGCGAAGATGCGCACTGGAGAAGCGCGAAGAACGAAAACTGGTCCTTTCGCAGTTATGGACTCTGATGAATTGCGGTATACATATGTATATACATACATACGTACCAACATACCTAATGAACAATTTGGCGGCATTGTTCTTTCTAGGTTATGCCTGTTTATTAACATTAGTATATGAGCAATGTAACGTAGAAAGTTTCGATGTAAATAAGTAATTTCATATAAAACCAGAATACAATTTCAAAATGAATGATACCAAAGAAAATTCACATGGTCATGTTCCAGAAGATCTTAAGAATGCTGTGTTAGTACATAGTTCCCCTATACCAGCTGGAACACCAGTTGTAAAAGGTATTATATATCTCTTATAACAAAAAGAAACATTTTTTAAATAAATAAAATCATGATGTTTTAGGATATGACTGGAACAAGGGAATTGATTATCATGCTCTATTTGAAACATATACACATTCTGGATTTCAAGCAAGAAATTTTGGTTTAGCAGTAGAAGAAGTTCAACAAATGATTGATGCTAGAAATATTCCTCTTAAAGATGATCAAATGGATATTTTAGAAGATGATGATTTTATAAAAAGAAAATCTTCCTGTACGATATTTTTAGGATATACATCTAACATGGCCTCTTGTGGGATTCGAGACACCATAAGGTTTCTTGTGCAACACAGTATGGTCAGTTAAAGTGTTTAAAAATATAGATTGCTTAATTATAGACTGATAATTTAGACATCTTTTTATGTTGTAGGTTGATTGTATCGTTACTACAGCAGGTGGTGTAGAAGAAGATCTAATAAAATGTTTAGCACCAACATACATAGGAGACTTTCATTTAGAAGGGAAACATCTTAGACAACATGGTCTTAATAGAATAGGAAACTTATTAGTACCAAATGATAATTACTGCAAGTTTGAGGATTGGGTTATGCCTAAATTAGATGCAATGTTAGCTGAACAGAAAGAAAAAGTATGTGCTGAAAGAAAATAAATCAGAAAGATTTTCTGTGTGCAAAGGAAATATCTTTGGGTATAACATTTAAGGGTACTCTTTGGACACCATCTAAAGTGATAGCAAAACTTGGGGAAGAAATTAATAACGAAGAATCCATTTATTACTGGGCTGCAAGAAATAAAATTCCCGTTTTTAGTCCAGCTCTAACTGATGGCAGCCTTGGCGATATGATGTACTTTCACTCTTTTAGAAATCCAGGCTTAGTTATAGACATAGTGTCAGGTTCTGATTTATTATAAAAAAAAATTTAGTACTGATTAAAATCAAAATTGTAAAATAATTTCCTCTATCTTACTATATTATAGATCTTAGACGATTGAATACAATGGCTATGAAAGCAGTAAAAAGTGGAATGATTATTATCGGCGGCGGTGTTGTAAAACATCACATCTGTAATGCAAATCTAATGGTAATAAGAACGGCAAAGAAAATATTTAATAATTAGCTGATTTATAATAACTCTTATTCTAGAGAAACGGTGCCGACTATTCTGTGTTCATAAATACAGCGTCCGAATTCGATGGTAGCGATAGTGGTGCTCGTCCAGATGAAGCCGTCTCCTGGGGTAAAATTCGAGTAGATGCAAAACCAGTGAAGGTACGATTACCTTTATCCTATAACTTAATCATTGGTCTAATGAATTAATATTTCAGATTTACGCAGAAGCGACTTTAGTGTTTCCATTGCTTGTTGGAGAAACATTTGCTCGCTATTATCATTCCTCCAAAAAAAATACTGTATCAAATACCTGAATAAAATATATTATTATAACCAATTTATGGCTTATAAATTCTTCGCCCTTTACCAAGAAATAGCAAAGGTGTAAAGGGGAAAATTGAAAAAGAGGATTGGGCAACGATTCACGCTTACGTTTTTATTATAATAGATTGTATTGAAATTTGTCGCACTCTTTTGAAAACAAAAAGTGTTGCACGCGCCTGGGTGTTTCACCCTTGTTACCCTTTCTCTCTCTTTCTCTCCACACGCAACAAGTCGCTCGAAAAGGTTCATGAGATATACCGTGTTTTTTTGTTTTTTTTTTTTTCATATACCAGCAGTGGTATATAACAAAATTCGACATAGACTACAACAACAACAACATTCAGCCACACTTGTTCATCTCGTTATCGCATTCACGCGAGAAATATAATCTACAGGCTCTATCACGAGGAATATACAAGAAATTTAACTCGTTTACCAGCTTTTACGAGAACTTCTTCTTTTTTTTTTTTTTTTTTACATATCTATTCTCACATTCCCTTTTTCTTTCTCCTTTCTTGATATAATTGTATCCCGCGATTATTTCTTTTCTCTTTCATTCTTTCACACTCTCTCTCCCATTCGTAATTCTATGTACAATTAGATTCCCTTATTACAGTTCATTTTTAGGATGTTAGTAAATAATAGTTAGCATCATACACGTCTACGCTGTAAACGATTTAACAGTTCTGCTTAAACGCTATAGTGCTAAGTAATTTTATTAATTACTTATATCACATTGTTCATGTACACATAATAATTCCCCGCACGTTATCCGTACTTTCCTCCTGTCGACCATTCTTATTTTCTTTTTTTTTTGTTTTCTTCCTCTGTTTTCTTCATTTTCGATTTTCGAAAGTTCTCGTTGATCGACGAGATTTTTATGTACAAAAAAAAGAAACAGGATATATTTTCTTCCTTCCATTATTTCGCGTCGCTTCGTTTTCTTCACTTTGATACATCGTGCCTGCTATTCAACAGCAAACACCTTTTTCTTTTACTTTGATTCGTTTTGCTACCGGCTTCGCTTTCGATCGATCCTTCGTTGAACGCAAATGTAGCGAATACGAGATTGAATTTTTCATAAAAAAAAAAATAAAAATTCAAAAGTCAAAATAACACTACGACCGATATCAAGTGTTCCTGATTTTAATACGTGATTCCATTCATTTAATTGATTTAAATTTCCTAACTAAAATTCATAAATAATGTAACATCGAGTGTAGAAATGATTACAATAATTAACATCGTTTTACGTCCAACGAATGTCATCTAACAACAATCCTTCTAATCACCCTTTGCGCTCTCAATTGTTCACGGTTGCGTACAAGTGTGTTAAGAATGCCCCCAAAAAACACGTTTCTAATACATCTATTTACATCCATTGCACGATTCGAGATTGGATTAAATAACGAGGTGTCGAATTTACAGCTCGAAAACCCGATGGAGCTTATTATTGTTGGCCACGTTAAACAAAGGAGGGAACGAAAATGACTAGTGCGCGCGCCGAATCGAAAAATATTCATCGAACGATAAAAGAATCACAAAGGTATCTTCTCCTCCGTCTCTACGCCAAAAATTATCTCGCGAGACACGAATTTAAAAAAAAAAAAAATGCATTCCCTCGAAAGACACATGACTTCTTTTATAAATTTACGAAAAAACGAAAAAAGAAAAAAAAAATACTTCGACGTTTTTATAACGCGTCTCATTAGCAGCGAACGCGATATTAATTCGACATATGAATTCATTGGAAAGTGGAGAAAAGAAAAACAATAACCAACAAAAGAAAAATATAAACATCATAGACCGAAAAGTAATTGTAAAAGATACAAGCTTTTTCGAATCTGTTCATCGAACATTGTACGATCAAGACATGTGAAAAAGTCACCGTGGTTGTAAAAATCATGCACGATATCGAAAATGGTAGATTTCCTTAGGGAAAATAGAAATCACCTGGTCCCTAAGGAAACCTACTTTATTCGATACTATACAATAACGAAACTCAAGAATAACAAAAAAAAAAAAATTAACAAATAGTAGAAATTTACTTTGAGAGTGCTGCAATAGAGCACTGTTCACGCACATAGAGAAATTCTACTGATTCAGTAGCGTCGTTATTTGTAAGCTCTACTAATTTAGTAGTACCTATTGTCACCTAATTATGTCATCACACTTAATCAATGTAGCCATTATGATCTTTTATATAAACAGTACTCCGTTGAAGCACCTGTGGACGAATGACTGTACAATTTTTCAATTCGTTTAACGCGTTCTTGCAACAAAACAGAAATTTTTATACGTTTAATGATATTCTACTCGAAGTACACGAAGAATCGCCTGCTTGGAATATACTTGGATCGCCGCAGTTGAAGCCTTGTTAATTTTATCCCTTTCGTTACGACGAAGCCCTTTTTTTTTTATTCTTTAAAGAAAATACAAAATTTGAACGTTAAACTTTAAATCATCCTGCATACAAGAGGGTTGATTATCTGCTTAATTGATCGAATTCATTAGTACATTATTACTTATTTACATTCGTTCATTAATATGTATCGGCTGTTCGTAACGAAACGATTTAACACCTTCGAAATATTCTACAAAAATATTCTAAATATACAAGAAATATTGCTATAATAAATACACGGTATTCGCTTCGAATACGAGGCGCGTTTTATAGTTTCCAAATGCTGCGATCCTTCGATCATTCCGAGCAGCAGGAACACGAAAAATGTCTTGTGAACGCATTGAAAGTGATTTCTCGTTGAGAAACATTAACAGAGTTTTCTTGAGAACCAAGGTGACATTTTGCATTTTCATTGGAATAGAGAGAAAATTCTTGTTCTCCTGAAAACGATATTGCTTTCTCCATTTTGACCGATTTAAATAAATTTTGTCGATAAATTTAGAGACGCAGCGGCCACGCGTATCACGAACACTTACATATTATCAGCGCTTAACTGACCAAGCCTTTGATTAAATAATTTAAAAAATTAAAAAAAAAAAAAAAAGAAAACGAAAAGATGATACACACATACACGTGTGTGTACATAATATACGCAGAGTAGAAGTAATAATAATACTAGTTTGCGAATCGTGATATATCTGTAAAGAGACCGTTAACAGTCATATGCACACTCACACACACGCGTACAAAAAAAGATTACACCGCTTGGACACTTGGCTCGTTTTTGAACTTGCTTCGTTTTTCAATCCATTCTTTTCATGTGATAGAAAAAGAAAAAGGGGGAAGAAATTTAATTGCAACTGATAATTGAAGTAGCTGTCTGATTTCGAAGAGAATAATGATCTTTGAAAGATGCAAGCAGAGAAATTACAATCTGCACATACCGCACGTTAGCATTGCATTGTTAATTCATAAAATACTCTATTTTCTTCTTCACCGATCAAAGGAACATAAGAAGATAAATTAACACGTTGCAGAAGCACACGCGTGAAAGTATATAAAAAAAAGAAAAAAAAATAATCATACAGATTTGTAATCGTGAGAGAGCTTGCTTTGTGTACTTCTGCGGTAAGTTTCTTCCCTCCAATTGTAGGCAGAAAAATGGAATCTTTTTTAATAAGATGATAAATTTAAATATTAAGCTGTTGCATATCAATTTGATCATCGCAATTTGATTTAAAGCTTAAAATTGCATGCAAATTACTATTAATACAAAATGATTGATCATCATTTAGAAGCAAATTATTATTCCTTAATTTTTATCAGAACCTTTCACAGCAAAGATTTAAATAAATCAACCACTTCATCTGCAACAACCTAATAATAATTTATTATCACTATTATTCTTGTTTCTGATAGTTTTATCATTCGCATCGTTAGTCTGTTTTAATGAACACCGTTAACGGTCTCGCATAGAGTACATCAAAATGAAATAACTCGAAACTTCAATCCTTTACGGTCCATCGTCCATTCTGTAGGCTAAGAGACCTATCAGAATTTTTATTTTCGTTAGAATTGTCATAAAGGTCTTTTGCCATAAATGTACACTTGGACCATAAAGGATTAACATTGCGAGATGAAATAAACGTGCAGAAAGGAATTTAAAAAAATAGCACGGTAAACGATATCTGATTTTCTTAGAACGCGATCGAAAGATTCTTCTTGTTCGTTCTTCCGAATGATTTTTAATTATTATGCAAAAAACATATCGTCTGCGATTAGAAACGAGTCATATACATGTATACGTATCCTTCAGAAATCTCTCCTAATGCTTTCAAGCGACAGTCCATCTCGAAATAAACCCGGTAAAGATATCAAAATCAAGGAGCCAAGGCGAACATCTTGATGCTCGTTTGCGTTCTGTAGAATAAATATAAACGAATAAATACTTGAGCATATTATCAAACATATATCCGTGTTCCTTGTCGCGTGTCCGACGCGAACGGAAGTTCAATTTACCATCTAATTTTAGAAAGTAAACCGTAGGCGTTATACGACAAAGTTCGATATAATCGTTTTCTCCACAGCCACTATTTTATAATGATAATTTAAAAGCACGAGCGTGTATCATCATCCAATCGATTCCAAGATTTCGATCAATATCCAAAAACGTCTTCAACCGATCGTTGAATTGAAACGTGACCTTAAACCACAGTCGTTTCAATCTCGCCTGCTGAACTTCAATTGTAACAAGGTACCAATGAGAAAGAATTGAATGTATAAATTTTCTGATACTTTGCGGTCAAGCAATTTAAAAATCGTGCAAATTTCTGATGTTATGTACAATAAAACGTTCCATGTATGTAGTCGATTTCAGATAGATAATTCAATACGTAGGATTTCACAACAATTTTCATGCTAATTATTTTAGTTACTTTCAAGGAATAAAAATTTTTTCCCCGTATAAGTAACTTCTCTAAAGCTTCTCTAAAGTTCCAGGTACCATGCACAATTGCACGAGTTGAGCAAAGCTTCCTCAACATCTTCTCAGTCCGCTCACCGTTTGGAAGAGCTTAAACATCGAACTGAAACACGAAGGAACGCGTGGCGAAAAATAAGAAGTTCTCCTTCTTCGACGTTGAAAACATCACGAACAGGAGGAGAAAGTCTCTCTTCCTTGAAACACTTCTGTTCGTGTCTGTCTGAACTTTATCCTCGAAATCATCGAACGTGATCGTCTTCCCTACGAACGGTGTCGAATAATAACGAAACGTAGATTTCTGTCGATGGAACACCGATTTATCGTAACAACCTCTGTTACTCAATGCCACGATATCGTTTCTAGCCTTTTCTCAAACTGCTTTCATTTTCTTTTGATTCTGTCAGACGGTCGAATGGGTGGTCGAGGAAGGTTGCGTGCTGGAAGCTGTCGTCGACTGTGGGGTCGAGGTTGACGGTGAGCTCACGACAACAACAGGTTTCACCAGGGTCGTGGTGTTTATATACTGAGCGTTCACGATCGGCATTTGTGCCACGGATTTTAGAATCGGGGTGGTTATCATTTTACCCGCGAGACTAGAGGGTGCTAGAATGTGAGCGGTCACTTGGTTCCCTTGCGAGACAACGGTCATCGGGGTGACGATGGGTGTCAGGCCGGAGAGAGGCGTGTGCGGACCAACGATGTGAGCTATACCCTCTGTGGACGGAGCGTTCTGCATCACTGTCGAGCCTGATTTACCTGTTGTAGTTTGAAGCGATACCCCAGCGTGACTCAGCGTTAATCCTGCAACCCATAAGATCAATTGCAAATTAAATGTACGATCATTTCTGTTCCGATAAATTTGTTTGTCAGCCATTTTCAAAGCAACGCGTACAGTAAAAACGCACGTATCGCTCTGCGAATGAATAAGTTCCTCTAGCACCAATTCATTACAGAATCGCAACGTATACGACCTGACCTTTAATTCATAGTGCACTTTATTTCCATACACGAACGTATAAGATAGATAATATTCAATGTAAAGTGTACCATTTGCGGGGAGTATGTTTAACTCTGCGCCACCAGGAAGTCTAGTAAGCTCCGATCCGTTTCCGCCTACCAGTGTCACACCACCGACCATTTTATGCGTGGTCTGTGAATCCCCTGCTCTTATCCTTGTTTGAGCATCTATAACACAATTAACACAATAACAGTTATATCGAAGAACTTACTATGTACGATCACTTAAACATTCCTTAGTTAAAATGAAGCGTCGAATGTGAGAAGACAGCAGGTTTTAGGAAGCTGTGATAATTTATATATAAACAAATTTCTACTTGTCATGGAAAGCAAGGGGAACAGAGAGTTTAAGTCGAGGCGACATTCGTGTTGTAGGGATAATAAGACACTTGTACGACATTATAGGATTTACTCACTCGTCACATTCAGTGCAGGAGAATGCGTGGCGAGAACTAACGGCCTTCCCTCGTTTGCCGAATGCACAAATGTAACTGGCCTGACGTCATTGGCGGACGATTGCACGGCTAGGGCCAACGGCCTGTCGTTGTTGGACAGATTAGAATGCACGAACGTTACCCTGTTGTCGTTGGCCGTGGACGAGTGAACGACCAGCGCTACGGGCCTTGGCTCACTTCCAGTGTTCGATTGCACAGCAATCAGCGGCCTCGATTGATCCGAAGAATTTTGCACGGCTAACGTCAGAGGCCTGGACTCGTTATTGCCGGCTGTGTGAGCGACCAGTAGCTGCCTCGTATCGCCTGGTATCACTCTCAAACTCGGACCAATGTGCTGAAGGGTAGGAACGATCGTCGCCAACCCTTGACTCGTGTTCAACATCTGAGCACTGATAGGTAGGTGCAGCTGATGAGGCTGCTGCACTATACCGGTCGGTGATGTGTTTACTTTCTCCTGCAACAAGAATGCAATATGTCATTCTCTCCTGTGAACTATAATAAACGATATTTCATATGCAGTAACCAAACACGAATCTCTAAAAAAATAATATATACGCATTTTCGAATGCCATTTACACTCATTCGTAAACAGCTTACTCTTTACAAATGCGTATTTAATTTTGCACCGGTTCACACACAACGCTAAAACACACGTTGTGCCCAACGGGCATGTCGGTGCACAATCGTTAACAACCCTATTCGAATACAGAAAAATGGATCACGGTAAATTTTTCAGAATAGGGATTTGAACTCGGGACCTTTGGATTACGATTTGTGTGTTTAACCAACTGAACCAAAGCAATTTTAAAAAAATAAAATAATCTCCGCTTAACAAATTCAAGCCTGAGGTAACAGGTGCAGCTGAGTGAAGATAAGACGAAGTTGTAAATTAAACCATTGAGAAGCGGCATGATTGATGTTGCACTCAGAAACTCGTGTTATTTCTCAAAGCTGTGATATCAATTGAATTCGATATTGTTGTGCGATCGAATTTATTAAAGATTACTGTCTTTCTGGTACGAGTAGATTTACCCAAGTGGGGGTCGAACGTGTTAACGAAATATGACACTATAATTGTAAAAGTATAATAGCTAGGGGGATGTCACACAGGTCCGCGGATACGAGGGCCCAATCGTACGTACAAAGTTTATTTGAATTTACCTGTGCCGGAGTAGGAATGCTAGGTACGGGCGTTCCAGGGCTCGTACTCGCAGGTGGACTGTCCCTGGAACTTTGCGCAAGGTTCATGCCCTGCGTCTGACAAACAACTGCCGCGGTTGCAACTTGATTGTGAATATTGGAAGTCGTGCTGGTGGTTTGAAGAGTTTGCGGTGAACTGGCTGTGGCTGCACTGCTCAGACTACTGGTACTACTGTACCTCGTGCCACCCCGAGCGAGTCCAATTACATCAACGTCCATGTTTTCGGAAACTTGAATATGGACAATTCAATTAATACATAATTTATGATGTATATAGGATGTTTTTTTTTAATGACATTATTAATAAAATTAAAATAGTAATTTTATTTTGAAGAATGCAATTAACCCCTTCGCTTATTATTTCTCTAACAATTGCGCCTATTGGAACAGTTAAATCAAAATTTAGTCTTCGAATTCAAATACATATAATTACGTTTTAATTATGGATCAAATTGACCTTGTATCCCTCATTAGCATCGGTTCCATAAAATTCATCGTCCGAGGATTACCGTCATTTTTTTTTATATTATAAAAGAAATTTTTTTAATAACTTTATATAATATAATAGTAAAATTTACCACTCTTCGTCGCTGTTATGTCGGCAGCTGAATTCTGTTCCGGTAAAAGAGTATTAAAATCAATGTGATCCCAAGTAGCCGCGAGTTCCTTTTTTAATGCTAATAATCTCTGTTGAGCAGCGATTTTTTCCCTGGCAAGCCTTTCCATTTCATGTTCGTAATCTCGTTCCTTCTTTTTTAACGTCTATAACAGAAACAAGAAACGAAATGATCGATAACAAAAGGGGTTCATAATTTTCACCATTTTCGACAGAGATTTAACTTAGAACATTCATCGACACGATGATGATACAAGTGACATTATATAAGCACGTGTATAGACAGATTCTGATTATACACCAATGAGAGAGTATAAATACGCTTCAACTGATAAAACGATATATATATTTGCTCGAAATTAATAGCTACTATATCATGAATTTATCAAAATCTTCGTTTTCTATCGTACAATCATTAACAATATGTAAGAATATTTATCTTATAAATTTGAAACAAAGGATCACATTTATTAAACTCCTAGTGTCCCCTAGATTTCTAGATTACTAGATCCTTTCGAAAAGCGCTGATTGGATGAGTGAGAAAAATTAGGGAAAGCCGATACATGTACATAACTGTTATCGGTTCACTTTCGAGAATACTTTAACACGAACGTCACATGATACTCCTGCAAATTCAGGACACCTCTCCCTCGAAATACGATAAGTCTTGCACTTGACGTCAGCATGAACATGCGTGAAGGAACGTGCACGTGACAACGAACATCACACCGGCGCCCAGTAAAACGATGCACACGTTTCGAAAATAATAAAAGAAAGATATGCAAGGTCGAAATTCTTACGTGCAAGTGAAATCTGTTAAAATATGCACCTTGCGCGTATTTTTGTCAGCTCGATTTACGTCAAGTGCGATTAAATGTGATACCAATATGTCAAACTCCATCTTGAATTTCGAATGATAAGCAATTTTCTTAAGTCAGAGGGAATTTCCGCTTTTGAGTTAAAAATTTATTTTTCGTTACAACCCCAAAGTTTAAATTTTAGAAAAAATCCTTGAACATTTATTTAACCCTTTTGATAATGGCTACTGTCATTAGTGTATAATGTCAAACAAAAAGAAGGCGTGACAGCAGTCAGGATTATAATTTATTTAATTTTTAGAAAATGCAAAAATATTTAAGTGCAGAGCCCAGAGCCATCGTCCTGTTTGCCTGACATCAATGAAGGTAATGGTAAAAGGGGAACATGCGCGAAAATATGCAAAAACGACAATTTCAATTTTACACGTGCGACTCCGAGATTGTTAAAATGACGTCTTTCTATATAAAAAAACCGTAATAAACGTTCCGTTCGATATCAGGAAAAATGTTCGTACAGAAACGCACGTGACAATGAGTGCCATCGCACCGACACACACAGATGTAAGTACACGTGGTGGAGTGGTCGGAAGGGAAGAGGAGAGGTAACACGATCGAGTGCCAAGAGGAACGCAGACAGAAAAGAGATGACTGGGATCGTCACTTACACAAAGAGATAAACAGACGGGGGAAATGACAGAAGCATACCTTGAGGAAGAGAAGGAGCAATAGAGGGAGAGTCAGAGATCGGCAAAGACAAGGATGTAATAAAATGGGACCTGCGGATGCAGTGTTCTTCGAGGCATTTTCTCCTTTGGCATTTTTTTATAAATGCACTAATAACAAAAATATTTATTAGACAAGGTGCCCAATTTGCACACCTTTACTAGTCTCTAATTATTAAGCAATAAAAAACTGTCCAGACTTAGAGTGGACACCCTGTATATCGGTATATGCTCGCACAATCTGCACGCACCTTAATACCAACCAGATAAGGAGGGGAAGCATGCCAGAGAAGGGGGAGAGCGTGTATTGCGAAAAAAGACAGACAGAGAAACAGAAATAGACAGACGTACGGAGGAAGGGTGGAGAAGATTAAAACGAGACAGAGACGGCTGGAAGGGGGCGAAGAGGAAGGAGGACGAAGGCCGTTGCAGGAATAGGCGCACGCGCGGTTTACAAGCACGTGGGTAAACCGCCTCCAACAGGATTCGTGTACAATATCGCGTCCGAGTATACGTAAATAGCGTTTTCATTGCTTTATACATTTTCTCTATCTGCCACGTCGTACGCACCAAGAAGATCGTTTTACTTCATGAAACATTATCGTGCTCTCTTGCGCACACGAATCCGGCAGATATTTCGCGAATTTAACCAGAGCAAATGTGCTCGAAATGTCGTCATACCGACAGTAGGTTATCGGTACTATTTTTTTTTCTTCATTCGTGCCTTCGTCCGTGGAACATCTACCTTTTCGAGTACCCTTTTACGCGATATTTATTGGCCGTTCTCTGTTAAGGGAACATTCCGTTATCACGGCACTTAAGGCCTTAATAATTACATTACACTTCAGTCTCTGTTCATACCCGCTTATCGGCTGAGCTGTTACTCTAGCAAAGGACACATTGATACAGGAATATATAATATTTAACAAAACGTTTCCATAGAATGTACTAATTCCGTTTCAGCATTTGAATTCAAAGGAACAAAGATAATGTTACTTAGTAACTTTAATAGCGGTACTAAGCTTCGAAATAATCCAGCAGCTTACTCAACAATCCCGAAAGTCTGGCAACTATTCACCAAGTTATTATTACATCGGTAATCGTACGGTGTATTTACGTATCGCGTAGTTTTACGGAAAACTACAAATTATAATACTATCCTTGGTATTAAATAATTCTTGTAACATTTCATTTTAGTCCATAAATTGTGAACACCCGATGGCCTACAGTAGCGTAATAAAAAGGTAGAAAATTGATCGGTTGTTTACGGTTAGTTGACGTGTAATTTCGACATGTCAAAGCAGAACGTCATTTAGTACTTAGAAGTCGCCAACAATGGTGCCGGACGATAAAAGTTCGGATAGCAGCGTGTGCCGTACGTGCCATGCGGCATGACACCGATGGCCGCAGAGTCACGTGGAACCGATATAGGTACAGCTTCTACGTGGAGAGGCGCCGCAAACGCACAAGCGCGAACTGCATAGAAACAGAACAATACAAAACGAACGAGACGAACGAGGTAAGAGAACGTCTTAGCTGGTGGGAAAAGGCAAGGAGATGACCTAGAGTGAGAAGGAAAGAGATCCGAGAGAGACGGTAGAGTACATGGACAATGTGAGCAGAGGAGGAGGGGAGAAGAACGGATAAGAATCGAGGGGAATAGGTACGGAGATGAAATGCAGCAGACGGAAAATACGAGATGGAAGATACACGCGGGATGCAAGCGCAGGAGGGGGGATGCTATACACGAAGGACGAAGAATGACTCCAGAAACAATAAAAACGATAAAGAAAGCTGGAAAAAGTTCGTAATTCTCACGAAAGGGGTAAAATGATATAGTGCAAGTGTACGGTGGAGAAGAAAAAAGGAAGGAAGAGGGTAAAAAGGAAAGGAGGAAAAAGAAATATGATACTCCGGTTTTGCACGTACGATGGAAACGATACGCGGATGGCGTGCTCCTTGAGAAAGGAACAAACAGATCGTGCAGTGAGTAAATAAAAAGAGAAACATGCGCGGATCGAGCGAAAGGGTGCAAGGAGAAAGAGATAGAGAAAGCGAGCGAGTTGAAGAGAGAGAGGTAATGGGATATAGGGACAAGAGTGACAGAGCGCAGAGGAAGGGACGAAAACTGGTGGTAGAGTTGGAGTTGAATCACGAAAGAAGGGAAAGGAAGGTGTAGACGACCTTCCCGGGGACGCGTATTCTCGCGATTCTCTTGGTCGACGCACGTGAAGGTAATGTACATTTCACAACCCGTCCAAAATTGAAGCGATGGAATAGAAAGTACAAACCAGCGTTCACACTACATCTATAATAATGACGCGTTAATTGCTTGTAATTAACACGAGGACTAGGGAGAAGTCTAGGAGAGCAAATGCGAATAAAATTCTAGAAATACACCAGATGTTTATACGCAGAATGACCATTGATAAAGTAACGCGATTTATTTCCGTACCGATGCTATCTAATTGGTATTTACCAACCATGATGCGTTACATCATTCGTTGATACGTAATTTGCGAGACGCAATACATTAACCAAAGCGATTAACAGAATGGAAATTAATTGAAAGCTGTATCTGGTGTACAAAAGGTTATTACAATAAATTAAAATCCAATGTCCAATTACTCTTAAAAAAAGAAATGCATGTAGATCGATATGATACACCAACAAGTACATTGACCGTGAATCGAAAGTAGATTATGTGACTCGGATGTTCAGGTGACACGGTATCACAGTGTACGATTACCTTGCAGAAAATTCCAGTTCACGCTGGGTCAAACTGCCAACCCGTGACACTGGAAACCGTTTCATAATAAGAAACGCAATTAGCACTTTTTGCGATACGAAAATGTTTAACGCGTAAGCCTGATCCTGGGGGTACAGTCTGCTTGCCGTTGTTATGCATAAATAAATAACATAATCGGTATACAAACTACGCATTGTAGATAGTACAAATTGTAGCTACATTACGATAAAACGACTGCAAGTACAGTTGAACTCGTACGAGCAAGGTGTCAAAGCTACAAGATATGAAAATTAACATGGAACAAAAACGAGCTTAGAGGTCGTTGATAAAATACGATACGACTTATATTTGAAATACAAAAGAAACTCTATTTGCGTTGTTTATTATTACTTGGTTTATAAATCGTGTTAACTCGAGAATTATTTTATTCAGAGAAATAATTATTATTTGACATACCTGTATGTGCCTTATTGCAGCGTGGAGTATCGAGAGGTTCGAAGACTTCTTCTCCTCTTGCGACGGTAGTTGCCTCTTCAACATTTCGAAACATTCCTTCAGATGCGCCCTTCGATTTTTCTCCAATTTGTTGTGCACTTCTCTGGTGCCCGATCGGATCACGCACGGTCTGAAACAGAAAAAATGAAAATATGTGAGCTCTTATGAATGCTTGATGTAACAATGCTCGCACGGGTTAGACTACGTTTCGGGTGGACCAGTACCACCCTGGCGGCACCCCTTTTCATTGCGTCAATCGCGTAGTATCGCGTAGTTATTCGTACGCGATAGTGGTGTCATTAGGCGTCTCGCTCTCGCACGGGAACGCGACGTGGTGAGCGACGCACCGTGCACGTGCCATTCACCCTGGACACGTGCACCGCGTGAATGGATAGCAGACTCTGCCTCGACGTTCGCCCGTAACACCGAGAAAAGAGAGAGGAGAGAAAACGGAGAAGGAGAGCGCGCGAAGCAACAGGCTGACATATCGGCAGCAGAAGGAAGACGGAGAAACGACGCGAAGGAAGAGGAGGGATGACGGAGGAGAAAAGAAACGGTAAGAAATATAGATAGAGACGGCGCGATGGAAATAGTACCGTGGATGGAAAAGGTCAAGTGAGTCCGTGATAAAGAGAGAAAGAGCGAAACGGAAAATCGACAGAGAATTTTTTGGGAAAAGGAACATTTTCTCTATGATCCGCAATTTTTCAAAATTGTACAGGTTCGATTTTGAAAAATCAAAATCAAAAACGGGTTATAACTAGTTTTATGTATGAATAGATGCATTTATATCTCTTTGTATTTGTATATAATAACAAAGTTAATAAAGTGCTATATTCTCATGAATTATACAAAATTGAAGAAAAAAAAAATTATGGAACATTCTATAAATGCATTTATTTACTTAATCACTAACGCATCAAATAATCTGAAAATTATTACCTTTTAGTACCGAGTTTTATTTTTGAGCAATATTGTTGGGTTTAAGCAAGCAAACAGTGTTATCCTTCAAATTAAATAATAAGAAATTTTATTTTTCTCAAAAATGTATATCAAATGTATACATTTTTTACATTCAATGATACATCCTTATTGTTTTTATTATAATTATTATTATTCATATTTTAATCTATCTTAATTGAAATATAAATTTAAATTTGTTATTAGTCGTATTTCTGATAGTTAATAATATTTGAATGTAGTACAAATCCACTTGGAGCTAATAAAAAAAATATTTTAAAAAACTAAATTATTACCTCTTAATGACCCGATATAAGCTTAATTAAAGATAAATCAAAACAATTCTTATCGAAATGTAATATTACCAGCAATAAAACGCTGGGGCAGTATTTATTAGAAAGATAGCACTAAATTTATATTTTATTAATAGATTAATTTGTCCAATTCAACATACAAATTTTTGCACGCCACATAAACTTTGACTTATAAGACCGTCTGAAACGAAACGCAATAAATGAAATAAGGAAAATAGGACTGAAGCACGGTAGTTAATATAATGAACAGGAATATAAGGAGGTAACTCAATTTTCTGACTTGTTTAGCTTGAATCAAGCCTCGTTTCTTCGTGATTTAAATGGAAAACAGTGAATAGTTAAGATAATTGAATAGAAGTAAATTCTTATATCCTGTTGCTTACGGAATTCTCCCTTAATTCTGTTATTCTTGAATTTATTAGATTTCATATTCGTACTGAACGTAAAATATGATATAAACTATATAAGTAGATTGTAATTTTCTTATCACAAATAATAGATATCATTTATTGTCTAGCATTAATAAATTAAATATTATATCATAGAAGAATTTTAGAAGGCATATCGTTTCAACATTTGTAGCTGGTATAATTTTATATCATTTAAAAAATTTATTAATAGCATCAATTCAAGTCCCATAGTTATAAATCATTTTTCTAAACCACTTACAAGTGAAAGAAATATCTTCTAAAAAATATCTAGATTCTAGATCTAAAACGCAAAAGCCCTCCTTACACTAGAACAACCGATACCGAATGTACATCTACTTTTAAATTAAAAATAAATTTAAAAAAAAAAAAACGAAAAAATAATATATGTTATAACTGGGTCAAGCTATAGCTGTAAAATGATCGAAGACAAAAAAAATGTCATTAGAGATGATCCATCATTTGAATAAATTTCATTGTTCTAGTGTTAATGATAAAGATTGAGAAAGAAGTTCCAACTTTCTTACCCATTTCGATGCTTCTTATTGTCGTGGCTCGGTTCAACGTCGACGATGAGATTACCAGCGTTCTGCTGCGAGTGATTCGAATTGTGATTTTCCACGTAAGGATTATGCGTGCTGTTGTGATTATTTTGATGATGGTGGTGATGGTGATGTTGGTGTTGCTGGGGTGGTTGGGATTGCTGTTGTTGCGGTTGTTGCTGTTGCTGTTGATGATGAGGAAGATGAAGGTGCGGCGTGGAGTGAAGGGTGGTCAGATGGCTCGAGTTTGAACTCGCCGACGGTGGTGTTACGCGTGTGTTTGAGATCACGGGACTCCCTCGGGAACCTGCCGAGTGATTCCCGTTCGTCCTGTTATTTTCCAGCGGTTCCTCCTCTGAAACATAAAACGATACTTTCCTAAAGACTGGCTCACCCGTTATCTTTCACGGCAAATTCTCCCGTTAAATCTATTTTACGATTCGACGTACATATTCAGAAACCGACGATCGAGAAATTCTTGGGCAAAATGCTTTGCCTCGAGAAAAGAGATTTCGCGAGGGTAAGATTTTACAGTGGTAATCCCCGAGCATTTCAACGACCCCGAAAGTTTCATTCTGCATTGCATTCGCAGAGACACCGTAATTCCTTGCATTCTACGACACAGACGACAAAGCTTCCATTCTTGTCCATTCTATTCTATGACCGAACTTGAATGACTTTGTTCTCGCCTAAGATTAGCAAACGCTCGCTGGAGTGGTGATAGCTTCGATTACTAATCAGGGATATCGATTCACTCACTCGAGATATCCGGATAGACAAAATTATGAACCAACTGAAGAGGTACCAGACTATTTTTGCCAATATGCATATTCAGTAATTTGCAATTTAGCTCGATATTATGCGGTAAAATGTTTAAAATTAAGATCGTCGAAGTGCAATGTTCAGAAGCGAGCGAAATGTTCCGCTACGAGGATCCAGTAGGATTCGCAATTTCCATTCGTCGCGATGCTATAAATTAACGGAGCACGTGTACGCGCATGCAACCAACTCATTCATGTACCAAGCGACTTGGCAAAGCTTCGTCGCATAGCTCGACTCTTCCTAAATCTATTCCAGGATTAAAGACGGCGTGTGTACGTTAGCATGAGAACAAGAAGTAAGAAAGCACCGACGGATATACCTTGCACGCCTGCATCGCCGTTCCTCGACGAAGAACCTTAGAGAATACTCTTAATGAAAATCTGCCTCTTGATTATTCGAAATCTAAAGAATTTGACACGTAATCTATTTTTATTGGAGGAATTTTCATTTAGGAACTTTTCTATAACCGATTCTTTAGCGATAGTGTTTGCAGATTTACACGCATTTTCACCTCATTTGATGTCTATCGAGTGACCTAGTTGATGTAATAAATTTCTGTAAACAGGGACAGGAAATCTCGACTTGCGTAACAGGCCTGACGCATTCGGAAGATTGAATCTTTTCGATAAAGTTTGAATTTAATCATTTTCATGGATCTAGAATTACTTTATTCCAAACTTTCATCTGGTTTTTTCTCTTTATCCAACGAAACAGAAATAATGAGGACTAAACTTTTTAATTTAAGCCTTCTGAAAAATATCATTTTTCAATTTTACATTAAATTCATCGACGACCGATGACCGCAAAGGTAGTCTGTGTTAACTTTGAATTGCTTAATAGAACAGTTACTTGAATATTAACAGACTGCTTATGGTATTTTTATCCTACGTTTTGCATACAAGGAACGAAATGTTAAAAGCTAATGAATATTTAAATCTAAAATTAAAGTATCATAGCTGTAAGATAAAAAAAGAATATAATGGAGATTATTCATTTCACAGTACAAAATACACGCGTTCGCTTTCGTAAAAAAAAAGTGAATTCTTCGACTGAATCAGGCGACGGTGTTTTATTAAATTAAGAATTATTCATTCGCCATGTGGAAGTAAGAAAATTGCTCTTGTCAGTCGCGTCTTGAATTATTCAAGCCGACCGATGCGTGAACCCATCCTTAGAACGCAGAAAGTTTCTCTAACAAAACTGATAAATCAACGAATCGATAAAAAGTTTACTCAATTTATATTCGAACCTTCGACCGAAAACACCGATGCAATGCTCGCTTCAACACTTAAAGCATTGTGACCGCCGCAGATGTAATGGCCAATTTATACAGCCATACACATTCGTTAAAAATAATGTCTATTAATCAGAATAATTTGTTAGAAATAAGACTATACAATTTTTGTAAGAGGCATTAAACTTGCATGATTTTTTCAAAGATCAAAGTGTTCAATAATTATAATCATAAAACATGTTGAAATGCAAAATCTCTTTTGCAAAAGAAGAACTGCATGTTCGAGATTAAAGACTAGTGGCGGTCTAGACGGACGTTCGAATGATAATCTTGTAGGATGGGCTAAAATGGGTAAAGAGACGAAAGAACTCGACTGTTCTTTTATCTGCAAAATCGGCATGAAATCAGCCTTAGACTGGAGGTCAAAGTGACTAGATGTAAATGTAAGCATGCCCGTTCACGACCGAATATCGAAACTGTGCGCTGCTCCATTCGGTGTCAGGATAATACGCTCGCGTGACGATTATTTCTTCGGCTCCCGGTCGAAAATTCAAAATGACGATATAGGAGTTTAAACAATTCACTTCGAGAGACGATTCGTAATTTCGATTCGCGTGACGATTATTTCTTCGGCTCCGGGTCGAAAATTCAAAATGACGATATAGAAGTTTAAACAATTCGAGAGACGATTCATAATTTCGTTCGACTCAGGAACGTTAAAATAACCGAGCCCGATATTTTTGAGAGAAAATTTTTTAAATATCGAATTTTACGAGGAAGTGATTGATCTATAAATTCGGCAAAAGAAGTATTTAAAATTTGGAGCAATCTAGCCTAGACTATCTAGCTCAATCAGTGGTCCTGCTGTAACGCGAGAACCCAACGTCCAGCTAAAGAATATTTATAGTCTGTGCGTAACCACTTTAAGTCGAAGCATCCTCGATGCTGAAGAAAAAAAGACACGACTCCTTTTAACGTCGTGTCTCTTCTCTCTCTAAATGAACCCCTGCTGCTCTAATGGGAGCCAGCCTTAATTGAGGTGTCAATGAAAATCACCGAAAATCACCAGGAAATTATCTGGCTCGTTATCACTCGTATGAAAGGACTCGTGGTTCAATTATTCGTATAAAGAAATTCATAGTGAATTTACTGGTGCCTAGTGGCTGCTGCGTGGGAGTTGATAAGAGCCACGATTATCTTAACAAGAATCCTAGAATTAGCTATGAAAATATTAGAATTGTCAATTTCGAGACAAACGAAGTCTGACGAGTTTGATGACATGAAAGTATCACGAAACAAACGTTTATGTTACAATTTCAAATTTGATGCTTGATGAGGTTTGAAAGAACACTAATTGAGATCGTAGAATGATACAATAAAAATGTTCGTTAATAGTATGGAAATAAGTAAGAAGTAATTTATCAAATTTGAGCGATTGATTTGCGATTATTACACAACAAACATCGCAGCAAAGGTGTTAAGATACTACGTTTCTTCGAGGCCTTAGCATACGTGTGTACCTATTTCTTGTTAATCGGTAAGCATTGCATGCTCGTCGCTTTAACGTCACCGGTTAAACGTAGAAGCTTTGCACGAAAGGTGTACACACGTTTCCTAGTCAAGATGGTGTGATCGATAAAAAGTACAATACATAAGGTATATTCCCTCTTTGCTTTAATGACAAATCGCCCTTTTTGAGTATAAGACTACCTTAACGTCTTTATTATTTTGCTAAGTATCTACAATTTTTAAGTATACTTCAGACATTGTTTTCAATGACATTCAAATTGAAATAATTGCCTGTATTCCACAAACAAGTAGATCCACGTAAGTAGCTCGGCTGGTATTGAAAAGTACCATTGCACATAGAATTATTACCAGCAGTCGATGGTTAAGTGCAGTGTCACGGTCACGATACGAAGTCGAGCAACCACGTGCTGCAAGATAACGGGCAGACAAGTGGACATTCGTTAGGAAGACGAAATAGGAAATCCGACTACGAGATATATACGGTCGCTTCAAATAGGCATCGTTAACCCTCCACGGAAATATGCATCCAGACAAGAGCACGACATTTAACCCTTTTATTACTTCGTATATTACTATAATCAGAGATGACTCAAATTTGGCTCTTGGGTCTCAGGTTATCACTCGGAGCTATGTCGTACAAGATACTTAAAGCGATATCTCCAAGAGTCTAAAAGTTAAATAAATATAAAAAGGGTTGAATAGAGATAACATTTGGAAAAAGAAAATGCAGTTCTTCCTTTACTCTTATTACAATTCCTATCATCTCCTAACTCCTAGATAAAATTAAGACCTACTATAGTGTCCAGATGCAAAGTAGCCATTGGAAGTTCTGGAAAATTTCTGATAGAAGAGTAGGAATTTGGGACCTAATTAATTAAAATTCGTTACAAGAATCTCTCGCTACAAATTTAAGTCCCAATCCGCCGCCGGTGTTGTCCCAAGATTTCGGAGCATAGTTTCTTATTAATAAAATATTACTAGGATCCGTTAGAGTAAACATCGATGCTCCTTCGAATCGATACTTCTAGTAATATCATTCATTATCGTGTGTACGATTCGATAGGATACTTTTTCCGCTAATGTTGCGACGGCGCGGCGACTCAAAGTCCAAAGACGTAAGGTGACTGGCGGGCGCAGGCGAAAAGAATTATAGGAGAAGATTATCTCACCGAGCAGATAATGCCGTATCCATTTTTTCTTGGGCGGGGGCGGCATCCAGCTGCGTACCGGTTCGTCGTTGACGACCACGTCGATTATACCGACGACCTGCGTCGGCATCAGGTTATTCGCGTCTCGGAGCCCGTCAACGTTGTTGTTCGTCTCGTTAACGACGTTGATCGCGTGCTGCGCTCCCGCAGCTTTAACCGTGTTCAAATTCATATGAGGCTGGATCGGCGTCGTGCCATCCGCGACCAACAAAACACCCATGTTCCCGATGAGTCTCGATACACCCGTTGCTATCTGACATACAACACACGCGTGTGCAAGAGAAAAGAAAAAAAATACGGGGCACGCGTTCGCACTAGTCGTTTCGCATAGAAACGCACATACGCCGACGCACACCTCTCAACAGATCCAAGGAACAGTTTCTATATCCATTTGCTCTCCTCTCGCTAATTTCCTATTCTGTGACTCCAGATCGGTAGGTACCTCTTAAAAGGACCGATCGCGATTTTTCCTGGGGGTATATCTGTTCAGGTTGGACAGACACGTCATACGGTGACCGGCGTCGAGCGCATAGCCTCGCGCGACCGATGATAAAACTGTCGTCCAGGACGCGTCGAACAGCCAGTCGAAAAAGAAGTGGAAACGACCGGGAATGTGAAGCGCGTGGAAAAGAGAGAGGGCTGCGTCACAGTTTCACAGAGAGGGGAAGCGGTTGCGACGAGCGAATACGACGAGGTCGACGTTTAATACGGCTGGAAAAAATCAGAACTTTCGAAACACTCTCGACTGTGCGTGTATTTCCCGACCGATCGAACGATCCTCTCTGCCGACCGTCCAGACTAGCCACGTTTTCGCCCTTTGACATGGGACAGCTTTCGATATCGAAATCCTTAATTGGATACCGTCATGAAAGTTCGGCTCAAAGTTTCATAGTTCATAGATTGAATTCCTGCATACGACTGGTCGTTCGACGTCTCGGGTGGAACAGCGTAGCGGAACGGAATCGATTTCCCTTTCGACGATCTCCGATCAGATAACGATACTCGCTGATTCTTTCCGTGACAGCCGGTAAAAATGTTCCCGAACGTTCGTTTAATAGATCCTTATACACTATCCTAGATCGTTACGCGAGCTCCTTTCTTCGTTCGACGAATCTCACTTGTGTAATCGTTACTGATAATGCGGCCTCTCGGGCATCGGAGTTGTCTGCAGCGCGCGACGTGCAACCTCGACCAGCGACCTTTTACGCGCAGTATCTAACAGCCGGTTCGACTCCGTAGACTCGTTACCTTTTCGTGCGAAACTTTACCGATGACGAGTGAAATAAATATGATTGGATCGGTAAGTAAACGTCGATATCGATTGGGATTGATTTCGAAGCTTTCATCGATCGGATTAATTGGGATGTTGGTCGATCGATGGGGGGGGGGGCGATCACTGGTACCGATCGTACCCGCGGACGATTCGATAAACGAAGAAAACTCAGTACCGCGTGAATCGCGGGTGCCGACTGAAGCCTAAACGTAAGTGCCACCGCCTCCAACCTGAGGATGACGATCCCCGGTTCCCTTTACCCCACTACAACGAGCCGTGCACGCCGCCAGTGGCGACGGCGGCAGCAGCGACGCCGACCAATCTCTCCCCTCTCGATCCTCCGACGCCGCTTTCCGTGACATCTCCGTTCACGCGAGAGTTGCCTCCAGTCACCCGCGACGCTCTATCCTTCTCCGACCGATCACCGTCTATCCTGATCTAACTTCTCTCTCTCTCTCTCTGCGACGCATTGAAACTCGAAACGATCGCCGCGAAATAGCGTGCGAGTTTCGAAACGTAATCGGAGCAAATGAGAATCCTTCGCCTCTCGGCACGCTCGACGATAATAGAGAAATAGAGAAGTTTCCGTACTTTTTTCCGTACTCCTCGACACGACGCATTTAATTAACAGCGATACGGTGACTCGTCACGTAAAGAAGCTGACTGCCGTCGATAGACGACACGTTAGAAATCTTTCCTACTCGGTGAATTATGCATGACCATCGTAATTGGGAGGACAATCGATTGGTTGGTTAAAACAACATACGCATGTTCTATATGAAATCACGAATACATACATCGTTTAACTGTGGAAAAAACAGTTATTGGTAGCCCTGGATTTACTAGTTAAAAACACATTAGCGCCTCTTTCAATAAATACTTTTAAAAAGAACATCGAATGTATTGTTCGTAAGGTACTTACCGTCAATAATGAGCAACTTTTCTTCACAAAATAAGTCATCTTGCTCTGTACGTTCCCTTTTTAATTTTGCACCTGAAACATTAAAGACAAATAAACGTTAGTTGGGATTTTAAAAAATCAATAAAATTTTATTTTAATTCCTTTTCCAAATTTAAAAGAACATTTCTCATTTCCCTGCTTTCTCTCGGGTACAATGTCACCGATAAACGCGACAACGCGGAGCGATCAGGAAAGCGGTGACTAGAGTCGGAGGCAGCGAAGCGCAACACGTCATCGTTCCATTGCACTTTTATCGTCCCTACTCCTGACCCTTTTCTGGATCTTCTTCAGCGTATCTCGCTACGTAGAGATGGTTGAATCCACAGGTCGATAAGGTATGAAAAATTGAAAGAGGCGCGTCTCCACGTGCTACAACGGCGGGGAGGGAGAGCGGGTATTCCCCTAGGTCGGCAGGGTGAGCGGAGGAACGATGGTGGGGGGGTAGATGAAAACGCCAGGGAGCACCGTCTCGTTTTATCTCTCTCGCTCCCTCCCACTCCGGGTCAGCGGAGGACGCGGCAACGTCGCAATTGATCAGGACGCCACGCGGCCGGACACGCTTGGTGGGGGATTTACCGGGGACAAGGCGCATGCGCACTAGGGCAACTCATTTGCCCGCGTGCTCCTCCGCTGATAGAGTGCATTGCGTTCTGGTCCGTTTTACTCCGTTCCGATTTACCCCGTTCTAATCTAACCTACTTTATTTCGCCCTAATCTATTCGATCCAACGTCAGAAACAATTTTACTTTGTCTCGCTCGTGTTGTTTTCCAGTGGGTGAGCCATAACGTGACCGCACGTCGTTTGGAGAAAAAAAAAAAAAAAGAAAAAAGAAAAAATTCACCTTGCAACGGTCGCCTACTTTCCTTCGCATGATCCACCTATCGTACTTTCGTCCTCTACGTTCCTCTCCCCTCCCAACCCCGTCGGTACTCTCGTATATGGAGACAGTTAATCTGCACGGATTTGACCGGTGTGACGAATGTGTCGGCAGTAACGACGAGTGGGTAACGAGCGCCCCTACGACAGCTATAGAGGAACACACAGCAAACGGACTGATGCTGTGTAGGTAGGAGTGGTTTAGCTATGGTAGCGGTCGATCGCACACCTAGACTTCTGGAATAGTCAAGCAATGCGACACCGGTTTCAATGCCAATGGACTGTAGCGTATGGTAAAAGCTGCATGAAAGTATTGTCGCGTGCGAAAGGAAATACGGTTGAAAAATTAAAAATAAATTTTGCATAAATCACGTACCCTAAATAACTAATGTACGCACGGTTGCGTAATATTTATTCCTATCAGGAAAAAAAAACAGAAAACAAAAACATGAATAACAAATCAACCACCGAGGGTCCGGAAAACAGGTTAAAAATAAAAATACGTAAAAATGTCATTGTGTGTAAATCAATTATGCGTACGTAGAGGAAAATTAAATCGGTCGAACGCGCATCTAGATAAGCCTTTTTTGGTCGGATTTATGCGCTTCAATTACTCGCATCAGGCGAAACACGCGCATGTTATGAAGTTGTAAAGGTGAATTGTAAAGCATCATTTAAGTACACGATAGACGGACTTAAATTATCGTTTAACGCGCATTGCCTGTTATATCACGCACCGCCGTGCCAGCGAGCACGCGCAACGCGGTAACAGACCGGATGCGCGGAGATAGGGAGCGAATTACGTTTAAATCATCCGTATTACGATCGAGTTTGTGTACGAAACCAGTACCGAGTTTTCCACTTTAAAGTTCTACTGATCTACTCCAACTTGCTTCTCACAAATTCAAGCATATTTTTCACATATTTTTATTTCAATGACATCCTGCGGAAATTAACGTACGTGGTTTTGATCAGTTTGTTTTAATCCATTAAATAACAAAGGTTTCCCTGATAGCGTCACCGATGAAAAGATTAAACTGTGGGGACAAAATCGAAGCATATCTGGTAGACACCTTTACCACCTCGTGTCGCATTTGAACCGTGCGCATAGACGTGCGTGACCGTGAAAACGGACGATCGATCTCTCGATACGTGAATATTCACCTTCCTTTAAGGTTTCATCAAGACCTACAGGGAAAATTGTCCAACGGAAAAATAATTGTACTCCTATTCCCTATCTATAGAATAAATCTCGACAATTTTTGTTCTATGTCGAACAAAATCTAATTTTCAGCAGCTTCCCTTAGATCTCCCTTTGAAAATCGACGCTGCTTACATCTCTTGCATTTGCCAGTCATGTGAATTACAGTGAAGCCTATTTAAAAGTGGCGTGCAAATTTAATCCGCATCGGATACGCGTTTTCCAGCCCACCTGACACAATCGTTCGGCCGCGCATCGACGCGCACGAACCCACGAAACGGGAAGATCGATCTGACCTGTATCGTATGTATTTTTTTGTTGCCTACCTTCCTTCCGCGAACGTACAATGCACCTCGCGTGTTACCTACGCGCCTCCCTCCCTCGCCACCCTGCCGTTCCCCCCTCGCTCCCACCATGGGCAATGATGCCACTGTCCACTGGCTGGTTCTGTGTACCGTGTGCAGTGCACCACCACACGAAAATTGCTGTACTGATCGGAACGAGTCGCGGGACAAATCAGATGCGTGCGTGATAATGATGGAAAAAGCCTACGAGGGAAATAACGAGAGTAAACGACACTAGCGAAGAGACAAAGGAGGTGGTTCACCGAGTGGAAGAGAGAGAGGGAGAGACGCTCGGTTACAAAGGATACAGAGAGATTACCAAGACAAAGAGAGATAGGAAGAGAACGCGCTGGCAAACATAACGCTCGCGCACGAGTAGGTGGCGCGCTCGTGAATGAAGCACAAAAGCTGTCGTAGTTTCTAGAGTCAGTGACCGGGGGTCCTCTGATTCCCCACTACCTTATAGTATCCAGGTTCGTTCCTACCATCGTCACCGTAGCACCACGGTCACCATCGTTACCCCTCCAAAAGCGATATTGTCCCCACCCCCCACCGCCGCTCTAATCCACCGTTCTCCGCTGTGACCTAAAGGTGCGTATTCACCAACAAATAGTTCATGAACAATCCTTAAAAACTTTTTATAACAATCCTGTGATCGACATTGTTGGATATTTTAACCAAGGAGGGCAGTTTGGTCCTTCTAAATATCAATTTATATATTGATCATAAACTATTTACAATGGAAACGCACTTTAATCTTTCTACATGCTTCTATTTAAGCCTAACTTCCGCCATCCTTTACTGTCTCTTCGCTTTTATACGTACTTAGTGGCCCTTGTACACCCATGTGCAACATAGGTTTCCCTTGGTGGAGGGGAACTAAGGAGAACGATCCCCCACCACTCGTCCCCTGTCTCTGGAGTTGGGCGCGCGGTGGGAGAAGGCTAACCTCTCCTAGCCTCGCTCTTAAAAGAATACAAGCGAGTCAAACAAGGAGTGGGACGCCTTCCTCTACATTTCCCCTTAACCGCGGGAAGCCAACGTTGCACGCGACTGTACGTGCACGTTACTGATGGCTGCTTCACGTCGGATCGACGACCAAAGGGGAAATTCGATGCATACGGTCAACTACTAAATCGTTCGCTCTCCTATCCCCTCCACTTTTACCTTTTCTTGACTTTTCAACCTTCTATCTCCTTGAAAGTTGTAAACACTTCGCGTTGCGGCTTGTCGATCGCGATACACTTTCACAAACCGATGTTACCGCGAACGAAACCTTCGACTTCGACGAGACTAGATAACGTTTAATCAATTTGTGATGGAACGATCCGAGATATACCTCGATTACCGAGAAAATCATTCGAACAGAGACCCTCCGTGTTTGTCAATTGGAAAACGGAAAATTGAAAAGTTAAGTCTGCTCATTCTGGGGCAGCGTAATCAAATATAAAAAGAAAAAATTATCACAGAAATCATTTGACTAGAAAAGTTAATGTAATCTTAGAGAAAGAGACCGATGGCATAGTAGCGTGCAGTCATTGCGTTTCGTGTTCACGAACTCTTTCGTGTGTGTTAAGACTCGCTTTACAGGATCGGCCGGTTGAGTCATTGACCTGGGAAAACGCGGGAATCAAAGGAACACAACGACAATCTCCTCTGTGGGATCGATCGATTTGTTTTTCGATTATTATCGTGTCAAGGAGTTTTCTCTAACGCGCCTTCGTTATCTTGCTAAGTACTATACGGTGATCAAGAAAAACCAATTCAAACACGACCTTTTATTATAGTGGATCGATAAATTGAAACAGAATATAAAAAATTGGTGCACATTGTGCACAGACTGGACATTTCATGGAACTTTCCACTATGCGTCTCATAAAAGACCGCCAACGTGTCTGAGAATCACTGTTGCGAGGGAAATCATACCTAATTTGGAGGCGGTGAACGCGTGGGTCATCGCGTGCTATTCGCATGTACACTGCAGTGTTTCTCATTTCACACGTCGCAACAAAACTTTTTTTTAAATAATTGATTATCCAGTAATAATTGATTTTATAATAATTTCTGAAGATCAAATAAACGCAAAATACAGTCCTATACCAAAACTTAAATTGCTTGATTTTTTCTAATGAATTCTGATATAGCGTAAATTGGTACAGCACTCTGTAATTATAATTATTTAGTATTCTATACTTCCATTTTTCAATTTACACTTACTAACGTAATATTGATGCTACTTTAGAATTTTCGTCAAATTATTTTTATTTCGGTTATTTGATTATATTAAATTTACGGTGCCAGACACCGATGACCCTCGCGGCATTCAACGTGTTAAGAACGTCATTCGTCTGTACACTGGACAAGCATCAAGCTGATGGAAGATTTTGAAAACGCAATCTGACGCGTTGTGCCATTCTATATTACTCATACGTATCGTGAACGATCGTCGAAAAGTGGCGCGTGGTACTCACCACGTGGCTCGTTGGAGTTGTGATGGTTGGAGTGGGGAGCGACAGCGAGCGGATAATCGGAGGAGGAGGAAGAGCTGCTTGCAAGGCGCTCCCTCTTTTTCTCCTGCTGCTCGACGAACCACGCTGCTTCCAGCAACGTTTCCAGGCTCATCCTGACGTTGCCGACTCGCTCCACGACGAACTTTGTTCCTCTTTAAGATCCTTCGGGAGATTGAGACTCTGCGATCGGACCGTCGATTCCCGTCGCCGGCTGGCGAGGACGAAGAAGTCGAGAGTCCGTTCTCGTGTCTCAACCCTCCTCTTTTTCTGCTGCTGCCAGCCGCGGGTGGCAATCTGTGTACGAACAAAAAAAAAGAACGAACGATTCTGTTATACTGAAAATGCACCAGACCACGGTGTCGATGTCGACGAGAGAGTGGGGGGAACGGAGTAACCGTCAGTTCTTAATTTGTCGACCTTGGCAAACGCGAGAGAAAAGGTCGTAATCGTGTAAATAATTGCACTGATTTTATGAATCTTGGATTATATTGAACGAAAAACACTGGATGCACTATAAAGAAATAGGACAGATACCGAATATGGTATAATACTAATCTACGTCACGGGATGCATAAATTTCGTTACCGTGGAAAATTTATACATGTCGCATTCTCTCGTTTGCCTTTGGATTATTTAACAACGAACTGATTACATGATTGTTCTTCGAATTGTTTAAAACTTTGTTGTCCGACAATATTAGCTTGCCCGAACAGAACTGCAGACGGTACGGACACGACCGGTGTTTGAGTATACGTCACGTGACGTACGCGTGACGTAACGCAGTCGCGCGGGAAGCTTGATCCCCTTCCACGTACCGTCTTCGTAATACCACACGTAGGAGATGCGCAAGCGCAACGTGCGCTTTCCTGGAGCGCAGAGCATTAGCACGCATCTTGAGTTCTGATTACTGGAAACAATCTAACAGTCAAAAAAGAAAGTAAACCGCAAAACCAACCAATTTTCTTCATGGAACATATCCTAATATTTGTGAAAGACCTATCTCCTGTTGTGAGTAGATTTGTAAATGAATTCAAAAAAGAAATTTCGACGGATGCGTACTTAATATTATATATGTTTTTAAGACGAATTGTCTAAATGTTTAATTTACTTGACAGTAAATTAATAAAATAAATCAACATGTTTACAGATATTCTTCCAATATTGTTTAATTATTGTAAACAACTTATTTTTATAATATAAATAAAAACACTGAAATTAAAGTTTATAAGGATATGCAAAATTATTTAAAACTGAAAAAATAATTTCAAAAGGCATAAAAATGTGTTTAAATTAAAAGTAATGAAATATTATTTTATATTGGTAATTGTTACGTTTGAAGTAATTAAACAGTTCATAGGAATACAAAATAATATACAGCTTTATAAGGCATCGCCGCATTTAGGTGAGTCGGATTAGTTTGACTGTTCTCGTAATATATTATCGAAAAGAGGAACGAGAGTCGTTACGTGGCGTTCGTACGCGCAAGAGCGTATTCGCAAATACAAGCGTGTACAGCGGATAGAAAATCGTCTGCGCTGTGTCCGAGAAATCAGTAAGCGAAGAAAAAAGGTTGACGAGACAGAGGCGGGAAAGGCGAAGCAGAGAAACGAGGTTCCGCCGCTGATTTGAAAAGTAGATATATCCCGGGCAACGTAATCGCGAAAGCGTACCACAATCACGAGTCGGACACAATCGCATTCCGTGGTACGCGCAACCATGCAAAAATAGGAAGGAAGAACGATGCACTGAGACAAGTTGGTAAAAAGAGAGGCTGGAAGAGTACGAAAAGTCAAGAATCGTACTGTACACGGAACGAGCTCCTTAAACTGACAAAGCGACACACACGTTAGACGGGCGACGCACGCATCGTTGGCCAATAGGAGGTCGCGATAATGTGACGTCATCAGCTGAAGTACCGTGCGATTGGTTGGGTCTATTATGGCACGGAAAACACGCCACGCAACCACCTATACACATGTTAATTAAATAGGCGACAGTCCTGACGAGATAATGTTCTCTGAAGACTTTTAAACGGGCGTGGTGACGCGACAAATGCATAGAAAATAATCAGAAACTTACACGTATGCCACGATTGTATCCCGGTCACAATGAAAACACGCTGAAAACCCACTTCCACGGTAGAAATCAATTTCTTGCAAGAATTTCTGCGATATTTTCGCTGTCAAACACCCAACACATGCAGAAAATCACGAACCACTCGTAAATTTTTTAACAGCGGACGATCTCACGACGTTTCACAGTACACGACGGTTATAACCTGATCGATCTAGCGCGTGGCAGAAACATTTTACAAGTGCTAACCACTGCGCATCAACAGCCATGCTTGCTTGGCCACGATTCACGTGTCTAGGCCCCGAGGTATAGACCAATCAGAGCGCGGTTCATGACGTCACCTGGCTGTATCGACCAATGAACGCAGCCCATGTGACGCAGCACTCCGCTGGGCGTGTAAGAGAAGTGTCGAGCTGCTGTATATTGCTCGTTAGTTGGTACACTTTTTTCGCGATTTTCTTAAGTTTTCTTTCGTACCATTATGAAAAACGTATTAAATTAAGATTTCGAAGCCAACCAATATCATTTGCGCGTAGGCTTACCTTCCGGTGGACGCCAGAACGGACGAATATCGCGACAATCGTACACAGCACACCCGACACCCGGCTCGCCCGGGCAAACACTCACTCCGATCTCGGCGGCGTCACCCTCTGCCACCTTTTGTCACGTTCCTTCTCTGTCACATGGATCGGGAGCTGTACGCTGTTGCCACTTCTACGGATATACAACCATACATTTCATTGTTTACTTTTGCGCGCGCGCCAAAACTACGTCCCGTCACTTTTTCGAAAACTAATTATTTTTATTTAGTTTACCTTAATTTAAAAAATAAATGGGACGTTGGTTTTGCTATTACAAAACTATAAGAAAATTATTAAATTTGTATGTATTTATAATGTGTTTTCATCAAAAGATGAATAATAGACAAAAAAAATGCAAATTAAATTTAAAACTTGAATAACACAGGTTGAATAACTAAAATTCAAAATAAAATAATTCTCTTTTAACAGCAGATTATCGCTATGTATACAAGTACCATAAATAACACATTAGTAAAAATTACACACGGACATTTATGGAATATACAACCTTGTGTGCACTTAACATAAATTGAAATTTATTAAAAGTATACAAAATATAAATACTTTGCAGCTGACAATAAAATTTAGCTTTATTGTAAAAAGTAAATATCATTTTTCTACAGGGAAATGACAAAAATATTTTATGTATGTATACGTGTATGTGTGCACAAAATCTGTATACTGTTTATAAAGGGATTGATTAAAACATTTACATGTGTTAATTACTTTCTAAAACCGTTTAAACACTGCATTAAGTTTGATTTATTTTAAGTTGTTTCAAATTATTCGAAAGCATGTAACAATTATTTTATTATTTTAAGAAAAATGAACTTCGTACATTTGCTTTTTTTTCATATTTTATAATCTAAAACAAATTCAGCAGTACAAAATATGACTAGAATTTGCATAAAACGTATACTACAATCTACATACAGAACTTAGTAAACAATATTACTATGGAATACATTACTTCAACAATACAAATTTTAATAAATTTATAATTTCACGTACTTAATACGTTGAATTTTTCTATAAAGTTTTTAAAATTTTGTACTATACATATATTCTTGATAAATTTCGTAAAAATTATATGATTTCTGGATTACACTAGACCTTTTCTCATTACACTTATTATTGATTATTTAATTTCAGCTTTGTACCAATAATATTAATCGGAGGTGGCAAAATATCAAGAATATATTGTAATAAAGATTAGTACAAACTTCTTATGTGTTGCTGATTTGTAATAAATTATATGACTTTTATTTACACTAGCGAGAATATTTTATACAAACGTACAAACATAAAAGTCATGGAACCGAAAAATTTCCTACATTTAGGTCATAGCGCGTTATGTTTGTACGTACGAGGAGCACCAGCATCTATATTTCGTATATACTTGTTGTAAGTCTTATTTTCTTATTTAGCACATGCAAAAGTTGTTAAACTTATTAAATTATTCTGAAAATAAGTTATTTCTTATATTGTGCTATGAAAAGAGCGCAAAATACTGTAAAGAAACACATTACGAATTTTAAATAGTTTTACAAACTGTTTTGATATAATACTTTATCTAGACACAAAGTACACTCCAAGGGTGCGATGCTAATGATTTATAGCATATTAATAAAAAAAAAACTTGTTCACAGTTTAGAACTTTTTTTTAATAGTGGATGTAACTTACGTTTATTGAGCATCACTATGTTTCAAAACAATAAATTAGACTACGTTAAAACCCCCTCAACTTGGCAACAAATTTATAAACTAAATGATCTAATCAATGCTTGTCTTCAACAACGTATAAAACAATGAATATATTTCAAGATTCACCACGTGATATCGCAAAAATCCGATGACAAAAAATGTAAGAATACTTTATAATTGCTAGAAAAAAAAAGTTTAAACAATTATTCATGTAATAATCAAACCCAAAAAGAGTACTATATACGTATCACTCTTTTTTTTTATAAGTTATTTTTTCATCTTTTCGTACTGGATATTTTTCTTAGATACTGTAAATGTAACTAATATAAGAATTAACAATTTAGCTAGATAATGCTTTAGAAAAGCATTGGTTATCTGCTCAAATTACTAACATAAAGATGCTTGAGTTCCGTCTTTGGCGTGTTTTCAAATAGAGCAGCTCGATTTTGTCCTTCGCCTTTCTTCACCCAATGACCATAAACTCTGAACGCACAACCATCAATGACCTGCAAATAAAATTATGCGCTACTTGGTTATTAATTTATAAAATGATTTAATCCATATTATATACCTGAATCTTATATTGTTAATAAATCATGAAAAACTGAATAATACCTTCCGTAAAATTTTTATCCGGTAAGGATCAGTAGATGCCACTTGAGTTGAAAGTGGCTCAGGTGTTATATGAAGTCGTTTAATACGTACTGCTGCGCGAACACAAATGATTGCTAATTGGAATCGTTTCCTTGCGTCAAACGATTTTGCTTTCAATTCCTGAAAGTATAACATCAGATAAAAACTCGTAAAATATTTAAATACAATACAAAATCTTATATTTTTGCTACACAGTTTCTGCACAGTGCTATTAAATATGGCAAAGAGAATGTATACAGTAAAACGAAAACGACACGAATAATGATAGTAGATCAGAATGTACAGAATTAAAGTCATTTTCATATTTTTTATGTGACGAATTTTCACAAATAATTTTGCAAAGTTTACACAGAAGCACCAGACCAATGAGGAAAAAGTTAATATGTAAAATATGAAGCTTGAAACATTAAACTTGTATGTTAATTCTGTACAATAACATGCATCATATTAATATATCACTTTTATGTATTACTCATGCAGTCATTTTTTAAAATATTATATACAATTTTTAAACCTTAGATAATAATATTGATGTAGAATAATAAAAATACAAAATAAAAACATGAAACAAAATGTACATATACCTGATTAATTTAAAACGTTATTAAAGATCAAAATGTTAATTGTTACATATTTTATATAAAAACTGGAACTCACATTTAATGATAAATAAAAATAAAAAATAAAAATAAAAATAATTTACCAAAGCTAACTGAGAAATCCTACTCAGACGTCGCGAATTAGTTGATAGAGAACGTTTTAGAGGAGCGATGTCTTGATCCCACAGCTGCAATTCCAACAATTTTTCAATTATCACGATATTAAGATCTGCTTCACCTCCTTCCTTCTTTCTTTTATGTCAAACCATTTCCAGATTAGTAATGTACATTTTCTTAAATCGATATTAAACAAAAGTGTGAAAAATAACATTCGATATTTTACAAAAGCCAGAATGTTTTATTGTAAACATAAAAAAGTAAACATATAAAGCAAACAAATAAAAAACATAAAATTATAATAAATATGGTACAGTTCCTTTTTAAATTACATAAAGTGATAAATGTTTCAGTCATGTGCTATTTTACTTTTGCTTCTATCTGTAAATATAATTTTAAAATTATTAACTAAAGCACTTACCACAGTATGGAAAAACGAATGCTCCAGAGCATCTTTAATACTAATCCTTTTCTTGGGATCAACAACTAGTAGCTTTCTTATCAGATCTTTAGGGGCCTCTGAAAATACAATTTAAAAGCTAAATGTTATAAGTATTCGTAAACATTTAGGAATTTATGCGGAATATTTTCATTTAGAATGAAAAATTTATAACATACAAAAAGAAACATATACGTTATGATACCCTATTTAGTTAGAAGAATGCACATCACGTTCGAAGATTTGTTAATGGCAACTCTTACCTTCAATATATTTTCCCTTTATGAAGCAGCTCACATCAAGATGCTATATCTTTGATAGATGAATGTTCAAGATGACAATATTTTTCTGATATTACCGTGGATTTTATTTCATGCTTGTGCATCACTAATATTCAATGATAAATTCCACCTAAAATTTTAGGTCTGTGTCTTGCACAGGTTGGGACATTTTACAAAAGTTTTGCTATTCAACTAGTATTAATTGTTTTGGAAACTGTTATGTTCGTTTATTATGATGTAGCGGGTGTAAGAACTTTAATTATACATAAAGTAAAAGAAAGAAAAATTATATGTCTAAGGCAATAGTTATTTGATAAAATACAGTATTTGACACTGAAAAAGAATTACAAACAAAACTCTGAAAATGATGCATATTAAGGCATGCGTTATATTAATTAAGCATACATTCATTTCGTGCATAGAAGTGCTGCGAAAGTTGACCGCTGCTATCCTCACCAGTTCTTAGAACAAGTTTCATGGATGAGCTTCTGGAGTTAAGTATCTAAAATATACAAATGTAATACGCGGACATAATTTGGTGCTACTGCTTGAGGCCTGTTGAAAGCTGCCCACTATCGGTCCGGAGCCACGATCAACTTTCGAGGCAATTATACTTTGAAAATTAGTATTTTCCTATCTTCACAATAATAATTACCTGTTATGTCTGCCCACTCTGGTGACGTAAATGAGTATTTTCCCTCCATAATATTCCTAAGCATGACCATCTGTTTTCTATGCCAAAAAGGGGGACAACCAACTAATAATGTAAACATAATTACTCCACAGGCCCATCTAAAAACATGGTATAATATTTGTTTGTTATCAGCACAGCTAATTTTTTGTCTTCCAATGCTGTACTAATGTACACATATACAGAAAATTTATTAACTTACACATCAACTTCATGACCATAGCCTTCTGCATTTTCAAACATATTGCATTTAAGTACTTCTGGTGCCAAATACCCCGGAGTACCACAAAGATCTATTAAAGAATGGTAAAAATAATTGTGATTTAATATGTAATACATGACTGCTTCTGTAAAATGATTACAAACCATATAATTTATCTCCTGTTTTCAACATTCTAGCAAACCCAAAGTCAGTTATTTTTACATTTAAATTATCATCAAGTAATATATTCTCTGGTTTCAAATCTCTGTGCACTATTCCTTGATTATGTACATGTTGAACTCCCTCAAAAACTTGTCTCATGATATATCTTGTCTTTTTCTCAGAAAGAGTAACAACAGATGTGAGGTAGTCAAACAATTCTCCATTCTTACAAATTTCAAATATTAAAAATATGAATGTACTGGACTCAAAGACATCATGTAGTTCAACTGAAAAATAGGAAACGCTTATTACACTTGGAATAATTATAACATATTTTTATGCACAAAATTAAGCAGATAAATGTTTCTGCATAAAAAAATCTATTATAAGACTTACTAATATAAGGATGACCAGCTACTCTACGTAGAATATGTACTTCTTGTAATGTAGCATCTTTCATAGTATGTCCATCCTCATTAGTTTCATTACTAATATCTATGATTTTAGCTGCATATTCTATACCTGTTTCTTTTTCTATACATCTTCTAACAGTGGAAGATATTCCTCTGTAAATGTTAAAGAATCATTTAATTCGTGATAAATATTAATTTGAAATTTGAAATTTGAATTTTCTATAATTATAGAATTAATAATTTTCTCAGCCAAGTCAAATAGCTTTAAATTTACGAATCATTTAAAATATACCATTTGTAAACAGCGACGAAATACAATACGTATTGTTGCCTGTTTATTCATACGTAGGTACTTTCTTTGTGTTTCATGTTAAGTTACCCTTTGTTATTTTTCAAATTTTATTTCATTAATATATAACAAACTATCAAATACTTAATTTCATTAAATTATATAATTGCACAGGTTAGTTTTTGTATGTGTGAGGCTATGAATTCCTCTATTCGTTTTATTGTGATTGCAATACCCAAAGATCTAATAATATAAACATGAACATATCTATCATAGAAGCATATTCTTCGAACCAATAAAAATAGTACGCTATGTTCTTTTTCTTTAAATATCACGACGAACCTTCCAAGGATTTCTTTGGGTTCATATTTCGCATAAAATCCCTTCGCTGCGTCCTTATCCGGCAAGAGGTCATCTCCTTCGTCTTTTGCCATTTTACACGCAATACTTTCATATGAATCACATTAAAAGCCACCTTAGAGATAGCACATGTTCCTTTAATTTGAAAGGAACAGAGTCTAATAGACAGTTTTTCCACCCAATGCGATTGTCATATTACTTGTCGTTACTAAACGTCGCGCTAGGTCTGACTACATCCTAAAGTACGCTACAAAAAAAAAAAATCACTGATCAACGTATACTGATAATGGTCACGATAGATCCACGGAAAGACAAAAAGACACATGAACACATAAGCCCCTGTCTGTGAGAGGAACAATGGCGATAGTTCAATATAAAGTAACGAACGAAGAGGGCTCTGACGGTGCAACCAGGAAGACGCGGACTCGTCGAGCGTGAAAGGGAAAACGGACAGGCGGCAAATAGCAATCTATTATCAATCTAAAATTGCTGCCCGAAGGTGTGCATATATTATGCATGTTTTACCTATGTTGTACGACTCACGCGAGTATCATGTGACTTCGGTAGTTTAGGTCCTATTTTAAATCATGTATGCAGCTGCGGTTGTCGCATTAATCACGCGTACAATATTTGAACATGTTTTTGTAATGTCATACATTAATATCAGCTGTAGATCTGTCAAAAATCAAAAGTGCGTCTTCGCAAAAAAATTAATATATGCATGAAAAATGTATAAGATAAATGAAAAACCACACCATTCAATAAGTTTATGCGATATTCTGATAGAAATATTACAACAAACAGGGAGGAAGGGGCAGTACCATGTCATATCACATTCTTTAATTTCATAAAACCATCTCATCCTCGCGAATATGTATCTAAAAAAACAAGAAATATTTGATATATATTACCCACTTATACATATGTACAGGGCAAATATAAATAGAAACTACCGCTAGCTCGCTTGTTCCTCGCAGTCTTGCTCTTAACGTTGAGCGCAATTACTCCGCTCGGATGATGCATCCATTCCTTTAACATATTTTAATATTGCGCGTTAATGTACTTTGATGGAAGTAATCAAAGCAAAAATACGAGGATTCGTTACATTCTTTTTTTCAGCTAAACGGAAATGATATATATATATATTTACGGACCACGTAGTTGAGCGAGCAAGGCCTCATTTTTACGACATTCAATAGTAAGTTGCCTGACCGCAGCAACGTATTTACGTTGTTGCTCTACCAGCGTGACCAATTGCCGGCTAAGAGCATCTCTTCTATTTTTCTCGTCCGCGCATCGTTTTTCCACCTACATAAAACATAATCCCCTTATCAGACTATAAAAACTAATATAATTATTAACATTCATATATTCTCAACGAAATGCATTTCAATCTTTGAATGTTACTCTATATTGATGTACGTAGAAAATAAAGATTCTTATAAAATATATTGATGAAAAAGAAATGTTTCTTACCTTCGCCTTATTGCGCTTTACGCCTCCAACGATCGCTTCGAACTGTTTAAGAAATTGTTCCTTGCCACTTGCTGATGCCATTGCTCTGATAAAAACAAAAAAATATATCGAAAATGTTTTATCATTAAATAACAAATACCAAGTTCACGAATTACTCACTCATTATAATTATCTTGAATGGAATTTAACAACGATAACTCTTTGCTTAAATAAAGTTTCGTATCATCAAGTGTATTGTACAATGTGTAATATTGTTTTGTTTCTTTATGTTTGGCCGAAACTGCAATTTAAACGATAAGACATTTAGTTAACACGCTAAATAATCGAACAGTGTTAAGTAAAAATAGATTCGATTAACCTTGATTATACAGCTCCATAAATCGTCTTTGATATTGAGTAAGCTCGGAACGACCAGGAACATCGTCGAGCTGTCTGGTTAAAGAAGCGATAGCTCTATTCTTCTTGGCTAATTGTAACCTGGCTTTCGTAACTGCTTCTTTCTGTTCCTCGTACTCTTTCAGCCGATCCTCTTCCTCTTCTGAAGTACCACTTTCAGTTTCTTGTAGTTTACCTCGCAGAAGATTCAAATCGGATTTACACTGCTCCCGAAAATTATATTCCTGCTCCTTCAAACCATCGTGAACTAAAAGAAGTTCTTCCAAACGCTTGTAAATGCTAAAGAAAGAATAAAAATAAAATTATTTCAATTCAATACCAAATATACTACACGTAAAGTTATAAAAATAAGTGCCTATCGTTTTCATTGATTCCCATTTCCTGCGCCTTCTTCAACGAACTCTCAATAGCTTGTCGCTTCGCACGAGATTCGTTCAATTTTTCAGTTGATTCTGCAAGCTTAGCAGTTAAGCCTTCTTTCTCTTTCGTCAATTTTCGTAATCTGTTTTGGAGTGCCGCTTTTTGTTTCTCTAGTGCGATTATTGCCGCGTTAGTACTTTTACTTTCCTGTATTTAACAAATTATTAATTAAGAGTACACCTATAATTCGTATAAATGCCAGATCAATTTACCTCCGTTTCAGAAATCGACATCGTTGCATACTTTTCCGCTGCTTTGGCAATCTCTTGAGCTTGAATACCAACAATGTTTCCTACTGCGGTTACGTTTAAACGCGCCTACATAAATTACATAAACTCATATAATTAAAGTTTAATGTTTATTAAGCATGGTTGCTTACCGAACTTTCCTCGATGGCAGTCAAATTTCCGGCTACTTGTTCGGTGTTTTCCTAGATAAAAATATTTTTTTTTAAGTTATACAATTTTTTTTTAAGCGACGGTGTTGGCACTGTACAGAAAAAATAAAATTTTGCATTGTATATGTCAAACATGTTTTATTTTCACCTTCTCTTTTAATTCTTTTGTACTTTTATCTTCTTTAGAATCGCTAGCAGAAACAGTTTCGGGCGACGATGCAGTGATGTTTTTAGAATATAAAGGCGCTTCGTATTCTAAAACAGTGCCTAGAAATTTAGTAGATTCGTCTCGGGCAGAGCCGCCTTTATACTTGAAAAGGCGTCGAGGTTCGTACGATTTCTATAAAAAGAATTTAATAACTTTAATTATTACGGATGTTACTTAAGAATTCGTTTCCTAACAATGTAGCATACTTTCACCAAGTGAATGTTTTTTATCAGATTTTCTTTAGCTGCTTTCGTTGCACCCGGATCCTCCGAAAAGGAATGTCTTTTATGAAACTGATTTAAAGCAAACGATCGGACAAAATCGGCTGTTTCTTCTCGCGTTTCCATTGACCGTTTCACCAGCCACTGAAATCTGTATGATTATTCAAATAGTTCTTAAAAACCAAGAATCATGAATTAAAAATAAAAATTACTTACTTGAATAACAGGGAAGATATGAATACAATCTAAACCTTGAATTTGATGCGGTTCTACTCGATATGGACAATTCATTTTAGGTAACATGGCAACTATTTTTTCAGTCAGAGATCTAAAAGTTATTGTATAAATTAATACTGATGCTTTGCACAGGGTACTGGATATTTCAAATCATGCTTTTCGCTCGGACTTACATTTTTTGACCTATCGTAAGATTTTCATGAAATAGTAAATCAATATCTACATCGAAATTACAAGATTCTATGCACCAAGTCATCCCACCGATTACCTGAAAATATTAATTTAGTATAATCATAAAAAGAAGAATGTACATCATATACATACCTTATCAAAATTCGATAAACCTTTTATCCTAGCTCGAAAATACCCTGCCACCGAAAGCAGGTCGATGATGTCTTGAAACCTCTTTGTTTGTTCCTCATCTTCACGAACATCAGCCTGAAAATATTTTACAATGCATTGTCTTTAACTACATTCCATTGAATTTTAAATCATATTTCCCGCACTTCGTTTACAACAGGCGATAGTACACAGAATCGCCGTTAGAGGGACGATAACGATTTGAAAATGTAACAGGTATATTATTTACTTTTAAAATTAAGTGTCTGCAAATAAACAATCGACAAAGTAATAAAGTAAATAATAATGTTACATGACAGATGTTCTATTATGAAAAAAAGAAAAAATCCAAGAATAAATTATGAAAGAAAAGGAAACGGGAAAGATGGAATGAATGATGGAAACGGTGAAATTTGGAACGCACAGTGGAAATTTATCAAAATTAAGCGACGTATCGCATTCTCTGATATTGATGTATGTAGATGTATACATTAACAAAATAATATTGTAAATAAACGAAAAATAATATCCACATTTATCGTTGCTGGTAGATCAATTTCAATTCTCAACTTATTAGTTTAGCAAGAAATATGATTACTTTCGTAAACGTACCTCAGTGGTTTCCGAGCTTCGCAACAATTTTTTTGGTACGTCATTTAACATGATTAGATACAACAAATTTTTGAATTAGAGTGGGTAAAATATGTATGCTGAATTTATAAGAAATTATTAATATATTTAACAGTATTCAAGTGTTGTGCCACTGTATCACTTGACATTGTCGATTAGTGCTGTAGTTACAGCCATTTTATTTCTGTCACGCCCTACAGATAGATTTCAAGGCGCATTTCTAAGTTCCTCTTCTTAAAGCTCCTTTCACAGTCAAAGAGATAAGCTAAAATGTAATTTAAATATTACGTGCCAAATAGAATGAATTTTCCTACGCGCTATCAGTAATTAAACTGAAATGAAGCATAAGTAATTTACAGTTAGGGAAGACAGATGAGAGGCGCAGGGTAAAATACTTCTACCATTTTCGTATCACATTCTACTATACCAACTAGGATTGACATTCTATCACAGCGCTGTTAGTGGTGGGAATTAGAATTAAAAACATTTCCTACCACCTCAATAGAAAAAGACAAATTTTGGCGAAAATTCGGTAAACCGTCATGCTCTGGTCCAGGTCAAATTTTGTAAATAAGCTCCATTTTGCAAAAGGAAATATCTGTGAAAATGATTTTTGGCGATCCGGAAAAAATAATTGTTTTACAAA